GAACCTGAGTTTGATTCCATTCCCCTCCTTCTGCTTCCTCTAGTTTCTTTTCAAACTGTACTTTTTAGTTGGAATTGTTGTAGTATGTGTAGTATTAGATCTTCGGGATCTTTCCAAATCATCAATGTGAGTACCTGAGCACTATTGGCTGACGACTCAGTCCAAGAAGTGAATTATGTCGATTTTATCGTGATTTGTTTGTGCACATAATGATAAGAATACCACTTTCGATCCAACCAAATGAGGGGACTAATTTTGAATAAGCAATTCCTTCACAACTGCTAAAATGTATGTTCTATATAGTATGAATGTGTGTTGTGTGAATGTAATCTGGACGTACTACATCCACCATGTTGTCATTATCATGTGACCTAAACGTCAGTTGCGTCGCTTCACCGCATCTGACACTTCAGAATCTTCAGAAAGAAGTATCTGGTTACTCTTTTTGGAGTACTGTGATTTTGAACATACTTCTTTTGTCACATACTGTTTTTCGCCCACTATACAGTAGGGATAAATGCGACTTCAGATGCAGCCAAAAATCTCTAGTGCAGGTGTGTTCAATCCTACTCCTAGTGGACCACTGTTTGGCAGACTAAGTTTAGTGAAACACACCTCATCCAGTTAATCACAATGTTTAGTGTTACTAGAAACTTCTAACTTCCAGATATCTGTGTTGGGCCAGTTGAAATTAAAATCTCCAGGACATTGGCCCTCCGTGAGCTGCTCTAGTGAGAAAGTGTGGGGCGCAAAGTGAAGACTAACTCAGTGGTCCTTGGAGTATCCCCAACAGTACACATTTTGTATGTCTTTATAATCTGACACAACCCTTTCAGGTCTTGGAGTCTCTACCAATGAGATGGCGAGTTGAATCAGGTGTGTTTGATTAGGGAGACAAAATGTGTCAACACATTCTCATCCCAAAAAGTCATATAACTGACGTTTTGGTATACGTCTTTTGACCATACGTCAATATTCGCCTTTTTAGGGCCCCCTTAAACGTCGGTAGATGGCGATCCCGGGCCGTCATACAACTGACGCTTTACCTTTAACGTCAGTTAGGTGACGGGTTAGGTTTAGGGTTAGGTTTAGGTCTGGGGTAGAGTTAGGATCCCATAACCTCATCTACCGACGTTTAAGGGGGCCCTAAAAAGGCGAATATTGACGTATGGTCAAAAGACGTCCCAAAACGTCAGTTATATGACTTTTTGGGGTGAGACTGCGCTGAATGTGTAGGGATGGACCGGCGACCTAACTAATGATGTGGACTGAATGAATTGCATCACACGAAATACAGTATATCATGACAAAATACAGTTACACTTTAATGCATTTCATAGACAGAAAAACAAAAGCAAGTTGCATTGTGTCAACTGAAATGTAAAGTCAGCACGTCCACAGAGGAATGAAATGCTTCTGGCTTTTTTCTTTTTGTGTATGCAATGCATCAAAGTTTATCTGAGTTTAGATATTAAAGAAATCTGATTTGTAATTTCCGTTTATATGGCCAGAATCAATTTTGAACTTTTTTTTTTTTTTTTACGGTTTATGATTCATTATTTAATACTTTAGTGTAGGGTCCTATTCTAGAGATAACTAGTTGCTTATTAGCATACTAGGCCATTATTTGTTTATTAGCTACTTATAAAGCACATATTCAGCATGACCATATTCTACTTCCTTTAATCCACCCAATACCTGAACTTAACAACTACCTACTAACTATGAATAAGCAGTAATTAGGACTTTATTGAGGCAAAAGTCCTAGTTAAAGGTATACTTCACCTCTGGAAAGATGAATGTGTATTTAAAATGGGTCATTTATGTAGAAGAAATGTGAAATTATTTTTGAATTTGGAGCTTTCTAGACTGAGAAAAGCCAGAAAATGTAATGTTTCTTATGTGGATGAAAGACAACAACTCCCAGAATGCACTTGCCTTCACTGCCTTAGGAGGCCACGCCTACCGGAATCAGAGCACAGTAGATAAACAACAAGTCTAGGCTACTAGTGAGTCTCTGTGATGAGTCTGCCCGAAAAAGTGTTTCGAGATCCCCCAAAATGTCCGGGATTCGGCTTTTGCGTTCTACAGTCGCGATTCATAATGTTTACTGTGGCGAGCAGGGCGAGCGAGGGCCGCGGGTGAACGGCGCGAGGCCGGTCGAGTGATTACCGATGAGCGACACCTGTGAGACGTACCGGTCTCGTATCTCTCACGGAGGAGCGTGAATTTTCCTTAGCTATGTCAAAACGCACATCAACCGATCACTTGTTCAGCGTTCATGTAAACACTACATTCAGATTCACCAATCGCAATGAATTCAGTTAGATTGAAACAAAAGGTGCACATGTAAACAATGAATGGGGACTCTGGAAAGCAAAAGCTGAATCCCGGACATCGATGGCCGGACATGTCCGGGAAAAAGAGGATTGTAACCCCTAAAGTTAATACTAAGCTTTCTCCAGCCTGCTAGCTTAGCTTCTTAAAAAAGATGGCTGACACTATGTGTGCATTCTGTGAGTGAGATACCACCCTCTATGGGCGGGTTGAGAACCATACTACTGACTGTAGTCTTTAGCCTCTGCCCAAAAAATCCTCCGATGATGCAAAATTACGATTTATCTCTCGTCTCAGGGGGATATGAGGGTGGAAAGCATGGTAATTCGAAAATACTACAGGTTTTCTTGCAGTACAAAGCTAAATCCTGAATTATCCCTTTAGCTAATGATGCAAAAAATTGTGACTGATTTTACAAACCTCTTGATATTCATAATGATACGCTCATCATTTCAGATATTTCTCAGAAGAATATACAACATGTTGACACAAGTGACTTAGGAAAATTAGCATTAGAGCCATGTTTGTCTGTAATGCGAGGGAATACATAAAGCCCAGAGCTCCAGTGTTTAGATCCATGAATTATAACGAGGGATAAAAGTTGACCGCAGAGCTGGCACAAGCTTTCAGCAGAACAGCTTGCTGTGGTACGTGGCTGAAACCTCATCCGACGCGCATGTGAAACCATCACTGGCCTGTTTGCATGGGGTGAACCGCTAAGCTTCGCAGCCTCCAAATCTGACACTTTTATTTTTGCCTTCCCCAGCCCCTCCATCTCCTTCATTTCCCTCCATCTTTCGCCCTACGCAAAACAAATGTTTGTTAAAGAGTGGCGGCACACGGTCTTACCAGAAATGGAGTCTACGGATGGGAGTGTGGTCTGGCACAACATGAAGTGATAGGCATTAAAAACCTCAGAGACTGCATGGCTCAATGGTGGAAGACGGTAGTGTGTGTGTGTGTGTGAGCACATAAGGGAGTGTGTGAAGATCTGTCAGACCTTGTCATGGACCTAGTTTTGGGGTTTGCTGTTCTGTTTTCTGAGCTCGTGTCGCTCTTGATGTGCCTGTATACAACACGGTTGTTGCTTTGCCAGAGCTGTCGCACCCATCACATTAGCTAAGCTGACATGCTAAACATTGGCTGCAATTTTCAAAAATTGCATCTTGTCATACAACAAGATCCATTTGGCGAACAAGAGGACACTGAGGCTACTCCGGCAGGATGGAGCGATTTTGAGGCAAAGCTGTTTGGAGGTATGGGTGGTCCTGTTTAGGCTGTCATGACTCCTTGTGAGGCTTCGACAGACTTTCCTCAAACTCTGCCACCCAGGAAAAAAACAGGCACGGACGCTTATTAAGTGATTTGTTTGATAAACAAATTGATTAATCCGAATGGGTGAGCCTACAGCTGGTTGATATTTGCTCTGACTGTCTCTGGGAATGTCTATAGTAATTTCAGAGGCATCAGCCATGATGTTCTACTTGGCTGTGGCTGCATGTGATTTATGTGCTGATTTGGGTCATCTTTTGTAATTTTGATTTAAATGATTACTCCACTTTTTTTCTTTTGAAATAGGCTCATTTTAGCACTCCCCCAGAGTGAAACAGTTGAGTTTTACCGTTTTCGAACGCATTCAGCCGATTTTCTGATATTTAGAAGAATGTCAGTAACCAGGCAGTATCTGGTCTCATTGACTTCCATAGTAGGATATACTATGGAGGTCAATGAGACTAGAAACTGTCTGGTTACTGATATTCTTGGTACCTTCACCAGATCTTTTATGGAACCACATGCTTTTCTGTTCGTTATGTTTTGATATCAACGACAAGTGACATCCTTGTATGAAGTTATGACCGGGATAAAACTCAATACCGTTTGCAATAATTGAAGCAGTAATGTTCTTTTGTATATATTTTATAGTTTTCACATGATTTTAAATCATTTTATTCATTGGTTTGTTAAATGCACACACATTATTACTGTATTATGTTTAATACTGTATCTCTTGAGTTAAAAACAAAAACTCAAATGGCCATCTGAAAATCTCTTTGAAAAATATGTGTAAAAAATAATAGTTCAAATCTTGTTTTCATGCCCCAAGAGCATTAAATACAAATCCTGACTAAGATTGTCTGTTTGGCATCATGTGACCTTATGAGCTCTCTCTACACTATATTCTTGTTTGAAACACTGTTTTGTGTGTTTTGATTTACACCAAACTTCCATAATTTGCACCCTGGCTCTAGTATAAGGCCCTCAAACAACAACAAGGTCTAACAAAGTACCGTAGAGTGGATTTTCCACCTCAATAGCAACTCTATCCATTTTATCTTTAGCCATTGTATATAAATTCAGCCGTACTATGACGCGTTTGTTGCCACAAGAGGCAATAGGAGCTTAGAGCGCATTCCTATCTTGGCTCCTTTCCTTGACCATACAAAAGATTTCTGTACGTGAGCGGTAAAGACCAGCGGCCAGAGAGATCTGAACCACAGCTGCCGTGGTTCGTGTGTCTCTCACTTTTGTTTTCACCGTGTGCTCCTGAACGCACACACATGCACCCTCGCCTTTATGAATTCACCAGATTCTCATCTATCTGTTAAAGTCATCAATGTGTTGGACTGCAAATGAACCAAAGCACTTCTTTTGTCCTTCCACAGGAGACTCTCGGGCAACCACCTGAGACACATCCCTGGCCCCGTGCTCCAAGGACTCTACAACCTCAAAGTCCTGTGAGTAACGAAAGACAGAAAGAGTGAGAGCGTTTTTGTTTCAGTTAATGCTTCTATGGAAAATAACATTCAGGGTGATTCATTCTGAAAAGGACATGTAGCAGTGTCATTCACTGCAAAATTAGAAACAGAACTGCTGACAGGTGATGATTCAGGTTTTGCTCAGTGGTGAATGGTCAATTAGCTGTTCCTTATGCCTGGGTGTTTGTTGATGTTCTATTGACAGATTGTAATTTTATTGACTGAATTAAAACCAGTTGATGGAGTAAAAAAGGACAGACAAAGGCCAGGCATGAAACACATTCACGCCACCATACATCTCAGAATTTCCACACAGGATTCCATGTACATTTCCGTGCTGTCCTTAAAGGGTTAGTTTACCAAAAAATTTAAATTAAGTCATTAATTACTCACCCCCATTCTGTACCAACCCCGTAAGACCTTCGTTCATCTTCGGAACACAAATGACGATATTTTTGATTAAATTTGAGAGGTGGATCACTGCTACATAGGCTGCCTAAGGGATCGAAACTTGACGGCCCAGAAAGTCAATGAAGAAAATGTTTAAATACTCCATGTGACTACAGTGGCTCAACTATAAGATTATCAAGTGACGAGAATACTTTTTGTGCGAAAAAACAAACGAAAATAATGACTTTGTTCGACTATTCCTTTTCTTCCTTGTAGGCCTGAGACGAGAGTTCAAGAGATTTCCACAACGCATGCGCGAGAACTGAAGTGAAATAGTTGAAGGAGATCGCAATTCTCGCGCATGCGTTGTGGAAATCTCTTGAACTCTCGTGGAATACAAAAAGTATTCTCGTAGCTTGATAAACTTATAGTTGAGCCGCTGTAGTCACATGGAATATTTAAACATTTTCTTCATTGACTTTCTGGGCCATCAAGTTTCGATCCCTTATGCTGCGTTAACACCGAACGCGAATAGCGCGTCAAATTCGCGTCTGACGCGTCTAGTTTGACGCTTGACAAATTTGTGTTAATTCGCGTGTCAAGAGTGAAACTGGCGTGCGTAAAAACAAAAGTTAGAAGCGAAATTTACGTGTGTGACGCGCATCAGAATCGAAATCCGTTGGCGGCCATTGTTTTTATGCCGACCGAGCATTCATCAAGAGAGTTACCGCTCTGTATTTACTCTAGAGAGCAGAACATCGGCGTGGGGATCACCGTCGTCGTATATTTGTGTCCACCGGACCATTCGGAGCCGAACCGTTTGGCGAGTTTCACTATTTGCTCGCTCCAGGAGCTGGTCTGGATGACGGCCGCTGTCAGCGGTACTTCCGCCTGTCACGCGGCCAGTTTGATGACCTGTTGTCCCACATCGGAGCGAGGATCACCCTCGCCCTCATCCATCTAATCTAGCTGTCATTTATTTTTGTTTTGATGATAAATAGAGCCACCCTTCAAAAGTTATTAACCTGTCCTGTGATTATTTTCTCTCTCAAGTCCAGACACAAACTTATGCACATGTTGGTTGTCTTTACATCATAATGATATTTCATATAATCTTGATATGGAATGAATAAGATTCAATACAAAATTAACATGTCTCGTATATAGAAATAAAGTTTTAAGTGATAAAATATTTGCTTTGTTGTGCATAATCCCACCATGCATTTAGTCATATTACAAAATAATTTATTGAAGCATCCAGATACTTCACCACGTGAGCAAGCAGCAGGTTCCTGATTGGTTAACGCGGTGCGAATTGATGCCAAAGTTCAGATTTTTCAACTCGGGCGGCAGACGCGAATACGCGTCAAACGCGTGAATGCTCAAATAGCACTAACTAAATCATTCGCGCTTAACACGCCAGACGCTCAATTCGCGCCATTCGCACAAACTTGACGCGCCGCAGGAATTTTTTACGCACGTAACACGTCTTTGCATTGACTTAACATTGAAATCATTCGCGCCTGACTCGCTATTCGCATCCGGTGTGAACACATAATTAGGCAGCCTATGTAGCAGTGATCTACCTCTCAAATTTAATCAAAAATATCTTCATTTGTGTTCCGAAGATTAACGAAGGTCTTACGGGGTTGATACAGCATGGGGGTGAGTAATTAATGACTTAATTTTCATTTTTGGGTGAACTAACCCTTTAACCCAGTTGTGCCCAACCCTGCTCCTGCCGATCGACTGTCCTGCACAGTTTATCTCCAACCTTAATCAAACACACCTGAAGCAACCAATTAAGGTCTTCAGGGTCACTTGGAAATTAAAGGCAGGTGTGTTTAATTAGGGTTGCTGATGAACTGTGCAGGACAGTCGATCGGCAGGAGCAGAGTTGGGCACCCATGCTTTAAAGCTTCAGTAAATTTGCCCTATATTGTCATTCAGCAATTCAACACATTTATCTACTTTTTAGATTGCATATCTCAAGAAAATTGCCCTCCCACATCAAATCCTTTCATTACCCCATAAAGTGGAATACAAACTTTGTGTGCCAATAACTCAGTAATTGTCTATATTAGTCCATTTATTAGTATATAACATTAGCTCAGTTTAATATTTTGGTTTCACTTCATTTGGATGGTCCCTTTAACACATTCTGTTGACTATAAGACCCCATTTACACCTGGTATTAAAATGCGATCTGTATCCAGATAAGTTATCCGGATAATAAAAAATCGCATGTTAATGCAAGGTGTAAATGCGTTGTGATCGGATCGCGATCGGATCTGCCTGACCACATCTGGAGGTAGTCTGGCTCGCATTGTGTCCGGATCTTTACTAGGTGTAAACGCAATCTGGTTGTTGAAACCACATATGTATATTTTACTCCTCCCAAAAAGGGAAAAAATAAACGAGTGAGCTTGTTATATAGGCTATATGTCATGTTATAGTCAGATATGACGGCGCTACTGCGACACGCATCACCGCAGATGATCAGCTGAGCGTCTATTCATCGAGCCAACGTGCAAACATCGCAAATAAAAGTGAAAGTAAGTCACAGACGCTTAACACACAATCATCTTCAAGTAAATAAAAGAAATGATCTTAACAGCGCTGTTGCCACTCTTTTATTGATGTCTCTGATTTGGAAATTAGCTGATGATCAACGAAATGCAGCTCAAATCTGTTGCTTTTGGTGGCGTGCAATCCATTAAATCTGCATACGCGGGAGTTTAAGATCGGATTCATATCCGTTTTGCAAAAACACATTTATGTGGCCAGGTGTAAATGGAATCGGTACTTATTATCCGGATAACTTATCTGGATACAGATCGCATTTTAATACCAGGTGTAAATGGGGTCTAAGTAACATTGCACCTACATGTCTAAGAACTCTCATTAGAGTGTTAGTAGAGTATTAGTAGACGTTAGAGTTAGAATAAGTTGACATGTAGTTGCATAGCTACTTAGAGTCAGTATAATGTCTGTTGGAGGACCATCACAATAAAGAGATAGCAGATATTAAGCAGACAGTCTACTAATACTCTAATGAGGGTTAGTTGACATGTAGTTGCAAAGTTCAGGAATTGTCCCTTATTAAAAAAAAAAAAAATTTTCTTTAACCATTACTAGAGTTCCATTTAGTATGAGAACATTAGTATTTGAATGCCCTTTCCACCATTTTCGAAGAAAACAACAAGATAATGTCTGTCATTGTCGGGTATCTTATTTCTGTGGTCAGTGTAGACAAAAACGGATTGGGTTGGGTATAACAATACTTACACATTTTTTCTCTGTTTGCTTTCTGTGCTCCGTCCATTGTGCTTCATAATATCCTATTCAACAACCAAACTTGTCTTAGGCACGAGTACCTGACCTGATGTTTTTGAACTAATGTTCTGCTTTCAATGAGCTAGTCAGAATCACATGTACATTTGAATACATATTAACTAAAACTTCAAGATAAACATGGCCAGAATGTCACATCAAGAACAATTGGTGAAAATATGACATAGCCACACAAAACCGAAAGTGCAGGGGGGGATGAATACACACTTTGTGGCATTTGAATGACTAAATAATAGAAGCTTGTTCACAATGTCATATCAAGACTGCTGGACATTTTAAGTCTAGATTCACAATGGCTATGGTGGCACCATGATTTCCTTGATAAGGACATCCTGCCCACAAAGGACTATTTATTCCTCCAAACACTGGCTGTGTGGTCAAATGTCAGGAGTTTCATTTGATTGGACATGATAAAGCTGTCTGCCTTGTAATTAAAGCTCAGCGTCTGTGGCCTCATGCTCTCACTTTGGAATAATTTCCTTTGTTCAAAGAGCTTGGTGTCATTGTTCTACCACTTCCTGTTTCTTTCGTTCTTTTATTCGACGAGTCCTGTGAGCATGACCTCAGTGGCCCACCCAAGCAGTTTCTCCCCCTCGTACTGGTTCACCTTGTTCAGTCTCTCTGCCCCTCCCATGTTCTGGTTTTGTCCACTGAAAAGTGCACCACTCAGTACCTGAAATCATATCTCTTGACTGATTGATGTGAGTGACAGGTAACCTCATCAGCAGTAAGCTGGAATACTCTTGTGACCAGAAGCCACACTCTCATTCTCAATTCGAAATTGTCTCTAGAGTCTGTTTTTTTTTTGACAAGCGTTACCATTTAAATATATACGTCACACAGCAAATTTCATATGGAACTACTGTAGTGGTGATTTCCTTAATACAAATAGACGGCAACCGAATGCCACTTAGATAACACTAGATTTCATTCTTGAATGTATTAATGTCACATTTAGTGTTTTAAAAAAGAGCAGATGGAATTACCTGTCTAATTTTCTTTTATGGTATCTTTGCAGGATGTTGCAGAATAACCAGTTAGAGAGATTGCCCAGTGAAGACCCATGGGAATTACCCAATTTGCTGTCTCTGTAAGTACCACATACTTCAAGTGATCAAAAGCAAACTTGGGCTGTAAGAGATTTACATGGAACAATGGTGTATATTAAAGCAACATTGGATAGGTCCACATGCCAAGTGTAGACCTCCTGGTTGTGACCACAGCTTCACACTTAACAGCTGGAATAAAACAGATTCAATTGATTCAAAGATTGGTCTCATGTGGAATGTTATTCTGCTTAGAAGATGCTAAGTGGAAGTGGAGTTGTTCGTCCAGAAAACATGATGAATAACTATCCATCAAATATTACATCATAAGCACAGCACGGGTAACGAAATGAATGATTTAGCACCCCTCTATCAGATAAAGTCTCTAGCAGTAAGATTATTTGGTCTACACTGCAATCTAGTCATGAGGTAACTCTTGGCATTTCTCTCTAATAGAGTTGATGCAGGAAAGCCCAGTTATTTATATGCCTATTAGGACCATTAGGCCCTTCATTAAAGAACTCCCCACCAGGGAGGATCAAGTTTGCAATTTAGGACACACATGGAAGCGGTAAAACAGGTGTTCTTCGGCTGTGCACTAGTGAGACCCATAGATTTTTGGTAATACATTTCATTCTATTTTGGATTTTCATTTGCAAACAATGCTATGCAGTTGTTCACAAGATTCAACATACTGTATTTCTTGACTTTAAATGAATACAATTTAAAAATGAATTTAGTGCGTCTGCTTTATACTTTCTCTATAAGACTTATTACCTTAATGCAAATTCGCAACGGAGACAAATATGATATTCCAGAGTTCAGTGTTTTTGAGGAAGACAAAACGTGACTATGTCACATTTAATATCAGAACGGTGAAAAGGAGGGACCTTTGCAGGGCCTGTTGGCGCATCTGGAACCCATGAGGAAACCGCTAGACACTGCACACTGGCTCCTGAGCGAGCGCTGGGAGATTCAATGAGCTGTGAAGAGCCCAATTTTCCATCAGTTACTCTTCCCTTAGGTCCAAAGTTTTCCTCCTAATCGGAATCACGCCCCCTATTCCTAACTGGTTCCCCATGAAAAGGTCAGAATCTAAATATTGTCTGGGATTTTGTCTGGCCTCGTCCATCTGCTCGACTCACATCCACTTCACGACCCCTTTTTAAATTATTCCAGTTTCCCAATGCCAGTCAGCATCCCGGTGCGGAGCCGCACACCCACTTTTTCCAAATGAATAATTCCATGTAAATATCCATGCGCTCATTTCCTTCTACCTTTGCAAGGATGTTTTCATTAGAGTCATGGCGTACAAATTTAATTCCTTTGCCACCAACAGAGTTTTTTTTTTTTTCCGCATGGAAGACGTGCCTGGTTCCAGAAGAGGCTCCAGACGTGCATAGACTGTGTCCAGGCCCTCCCTGTAGTGAGACAGAGCTCTGGCATTCGTCCAGCCAACTTACGCTCACTTTCAATCCCCCATAACAAAGAATATGCAGTGATTCAGCTAGGTGCTCTATCCTGAGTTCCCACAAGAGTAGAAAGGCATTTAGTTCTCAACAAACATGTAATTTAGGGTAATGATAAGATGGGGATCGGTTAACCACTGGGGGGGCTATAAGGTTTGAAGTCCACTGGCGCCCGATGTAGACAGAGGGAAGATGAGTTGGGGCAGGAGAGAGGATTGGTGATGAAACTCATCTTTGTTTCTTTACTAGAGTCTATGCTTGCTACACTCAGCACAGAGCATCCTTTGATGCTCTGTCAAGACCATCCTTCCAGGGTTTAGTCTTTGAAAGAAAGATCTGATAAAGATGCAGTCAAAGCTGAGCAACAATAAAACTTACCTTCCTTAAATCAGACGCAATGCAACACCTCTTGATCCCATGTTGGTTACCAATGAGATTCCACACAAAAAGAGATGACTAAAGCAATGTTTACATATATAATTTCTTTATCATAAAGAAGAATTATCTTTACCTATAAAGAAGGTAAGAATTATCTTCATTCTTCTTTATAATATAAAGTCTTAAACCTATCAAGCCAGATGATTGAGATGTCATCAGCAAGATATTGGTGTTTAATTCGAATCACTGCTACCTAGTCTGAGAACATTGGGGGTGTTCTTCAAGCCAAATAGCATTGCACTTTGAGATCAAGTTCCTCTACTATTGATGCTCATCGTGCATTACCTTGAGGTGAACGACTCGAGGGTTGAAGAGGCCAGAGGGGAGGTGAGGAGAGGCCAGCGCAAATTAATGTGTGTGAAAGGTCATGGGGAAAAAATGCAGAGGAAGTGCTTGCGGCTAACTCCACGTGCTCTGCTGCTATCATACATCACGATTCGCTGATCGCTGAGGTTCAACACCCCCCACCAATCCACGGGGCAACATTTATTAGATCAAAGACTTAACTTGTTGACACAGGGAGGACATTCATCTTGGTTGTGAAGATGTCAAGGTTTGTGAACAACAGCCTTGCAAAGAAACTGGGGGAGTTTCACTCAGTTCTTCGATTTGTGAAAGAATCCAAATGTCTGAACTTTCAATTATCTCCAGCAACCTCTTGATTTTTTTTTGTTTTTCGCAGCTTTTGTCTTTAGCTTAGTTTCTTTGTTTTATTTCCAAAAACCAGGGAGAAAAACTGTTAATTCAATACTGACTTAAAGCCTTCCAGTCAGCATGGAGGAACAATTGCTTGGTGGCTTTAACCAAATCAGCTCACCATGCCATGCACAAAGCCATCAAATTATCAATCGGTGCTTTGTTACACCATATGAGCGCAAGCGAAATGAAAGAGGAATGGCCAATTTACAAAATGCCTTCATGTGGTTGGATCGAGAGTGGAATCTTGTACGCCTGGTTTGTGATTGCACAACTTTTCTTTGTATCCTCTGAAACACACTTGCTGTGATTTAGCACCCTTTCTTCAAAAGCTTTAAATAAAAAAAAAAAAAATGTGACAATCCACAAAGAAAAGCACTCCACCTGCTCCCTTTTAAACGTTTAGAGCAGCAATCGTGTCAAAACTCTCATTAAACAAGTCCATGCTTGAGTTACTAAAGGGGCGATGGGGTGCTAAAGTGCTTAGATATTGGTACCAATGCTTACACCAGAACAAAAAAAGATTGAAACAAAGAGGCAACAAAATTATCCTTTAATTATGATATTGTTGTGACCGCAGATCTTTCTATTTAGCCACAATTTATGTCCTTTGTTCATCTGTTTTGATATACCTCTGGCAGTTTAATGAATTCAATGAAAGAGGTAGATTCCATGACAGGACTCTGCACGGACAAGGAGTGTTACCACTGACTGGGTCACAAATACTGGGCTGGAGTCATGCCAGGTCAGGCCTTATTATCAAAAAGTCTACAGTTGGTGAAAGACCTTATTATGGACAAGATTTACTAGCAACTTGCACCAGCGCAAACCCTCTTTTGGCGTTAAAAATTTACTAAAGACATGCAGTGAACATTTAGGTGTGGACAGTGTTACATTGCATATGATTTTGTAGGACTTTCCCTTTGGGACACAGAATTTATGGGAGGAGAGTATTTAGAAGAATCACAGTGATTTACTAAGGTTCGCACATGTCAATTTACTGGCATTTGCTCCATTATTTACCGCCAAGAAAGAAGCATGTCTTAAACCAGGTGCTAATTTACGCTGCTCTTGGTAGATGGCGTTGGTCATTATGGAAATGATCTGACTGCGTCTGTGTTCTTTCACTTGTGTTTCGTCAGTAGATCACGTGCAGAACATTCCACTCCCATCGCGCTTTTTTGAAATTGCGCTCTAGTGCTAAATTGCCCTTTTAAGTATGTCTGGCCCTAAGTATATTTTTATGGAAGGTGGGTCGCGTATAGTGTCTTGCTTACACAGGTTCAGAAACGTCCTTCAATGATTCATCTTTAGGGAAAGGTATATAACACCAGTCCCGTAAAGCCTAATGGCTTTCATCTCTTAATTCTTGCCAACAGTAATTGCTCATATTAACTAATGTCTGCTGTTGATTTGAAATGAAATAAATGCCTATTTTTTAGGTGAAAGGTTAAGACTGTTAAACATGACTGCATTGTAATTTCTGCACCCTCATAACCTTTGTACAGGAATAAACATCTGCTTGTGTTCATTCAAATAAAAACAGGCGTCTGGATGCCAACCTGATTATGGAGGTGCCAGCAAGGACCCTCTTGGGTATGCGGTCACTGAGGCACTTGTGGCTTGATGACAATGCCCTGACAGAGATCCCAATAAGCGCCCTCAATGACCTCTCTTCACTCCAGGCTATGACCCTTGCCCTAAACCGCATCACCCACATCCCTGACTATGCCTTCAGGAACCTCTCCAACCTAGTTGTCCTGTACGTATCTACTTCCACACAAAATATAGTATAAACAATGTTGATGTATTCCTGGATCAGCATGCTTAGCATCTTACCCCAACATATCCAATCTCTACAATCAGAGAAAATTGTTAAATGTTAAAGGGTTAGTTCAGTGTCAGTATTTACTCACCCTCATGTTGTTCCAACCCCGTAAGACCTTCGTTCATCTTCGGAACACAAATTAAGAAATTTTTGATGAAATCTGAGAGCTGGATCACTCCTCCATACTAGTCCATAGGCTTCTTGAGGGATTGAAACTTGCCGGCCTCGAAAAGTTATTAAAGACATTGTTAAAATACTCCAAGTGACTTCAGTGGCTCAATCTTAACTTTATCAAGTGACGAGAATACTTCTTGTGCGCAAAAACAAACAAAAATAACGACTTTAGTCAGTTAAAGGGTTAGTTCACCCAAAAATGAAAATTAAGTAATTAATTACTCACCCCCATGCTGTACCAACCCCGTAAGACCTTCGTTCGTCTTCGGAACACAAATGAAGATATTTTTGATTAAATTTGAGAGCTGTATAACTACCACATTGGCTCCTAAGGGACTGCCTCTTGACGGCCCAGAAAGTCAATGAAGAAAATGTTTAAATATCCCAAGTGACTACCGTGGCTCAACTATATGTTTATCAAGTGACGCGAATACTTTTTGTGCGAAAAAACAAACAAAAATGACGTTGTAGGCCAGAACGAGAATTCCTTAGATTTCCACGACGCATGCGCGAGAGTTGCGATCTGCTTTACACTACTTCAGATCGCAATTCTCGCGCATGCGTCGTGGAAATCTATAAGGAAGTCTCGTTCTGGCCTACAAGGAAGAAAAGAAATAGTCGAATAAACTCGTTATTTTTGTTTGTTTTTTCGCACAAAAAGTATTCGCGTCGCTTGATAAACATATAGTTGAGCCACGGTAGTCACTTGGGATATTTAAACATTTTCTTCATTGACTTTTTGGGCCGTCAAGAGGCAGTCCCTTAGGAGCCAATGTGGTAGTTATACAGCTCTCAAATTTAATCAAAAATATCTTCATTTGTGTTCCGAAGACGAACGAAGGTCTTACGGGGTTGGTACAGCATGGGGGTGAGTAATTAATGACTTAATTTTCATTTTTGGGTGAACTAACCCTTTAACGTAGTGTGATAGCGTAGAGCTATGTCACACGTAGGCTCACTATTGGCCGACGCTGGTCATGTGTGTGTTGCATGTGACGTACAACAACAGATCATACGCTGTTAGACTAGTAACCTGACTCGAGGCAGAGAGAAGTAAATGAATAGTTGAAATAAAGTCGTTATTTTTGTTGTTTTTTGCGCACAAAAAGTATTCTCGTCGCTTGATAAAGTTAAGATTGAGCCACTGAAGTCACTTGGACTATTTTAACGATGTCTTTAATAACTTTTCGAGGCCGGCAAGTTTCAATTCCTCAAGAAGCCTATGGACTAGTATGCAGGAGTGAAATAAAACAGCCCGTTCTCATCCTTTAACGTCATATAGAACGCTATATGCAAAAACGGCGCTGTACTACGCACATGGCACCCTTTATCGTTAATATAACACGCAAACCCAAGACGTCATAAATCCTTTAGCGTGAATATGACACGCACACCCTACCCCACACCTAAACTTAGCCCTCACAGCGCGTGTTATATTAACGATAAAGGGTGCCATGTGCGTAGTATAGCGCCGTTTTTTCATATAGCGTTTTATGACGTTAAAGGATGAGAATGCGTTGAATAAAAATACAAAAAATATCTTAATTTGTGTTCCGAAGATGAACGAAATTCTTACGGGGTTGGAACAACATGAGGGAGAGTAAATACTGACAGAATTTTGGGTTTGATTTGATTTGATTTATTGGTTTATTTAAAAGGGGACAGTGCAATTTCACAAAACGCATGAACAAACATGGTTAAAAAAGCCAGAATTAGCCAAAAGGCTATTTTTCATCTGTAGTCCCCTGGCCAAGATGTAAAAAAGCATTACAATACAAACAAGAAAATACATTTATAGGTCTATAGCAAATTGACTAAAAAATATCTAAATAACACTATAAGATAACATAGGGTACACTATGCCTATTACAATAATAAAATACACAAAAACACATTTACAAAAAGACTATATATTAAATATATAATACAGCTCTTGGGTGAACTATCCCTTTAACATGGATTAGAAATGCCCTTGATTCTGAGTACATCACACTAACCATTGTGCATGTATCGGTGTGACTGACGGAAACCAGGAAATCAGAGAAAGTTTGAACACATGCCTTGGTTTGATAGGACACCACAATAATCTTAAACTCTTTCATTTGCAAAGCAGTGAAAGGATAGTGTGGTTTAAGTTTATATATCATCCACCACATTCACATTTATTTGAAGCAATGTGCACAGCCTAACAGGTGTCATTCCTGAGGTTTGCCATAACGCTAATTAATGATTTCATGTTTAGGCATCTTCATAACAACATGATCCGGACCCTCGGACAGAACTGCTTTGAGGGACTGCACAGCCTCGAGACTCTGTGAGTAAGATCTTCCTTCAGGAAAGATTAAAAACATGAAAGCATTTCCTGTTTTTAATGCAAACAGACCCTGATCTGTTATTTGATTTTGGCATCCTCGTGTTATCATTATGTGGCTGTAAATATGAATCAAAATGACTAGCATACTAGCCTGACTCTACTTACTGAATGTTCAGTGGTTCAGCTTTGTATGAACTATAAACATAGCATTCTTTACACAATACTTGTGCTGTTGAGATATGAACATGTTAATTGCAGTACCTTGTTTTTAAGAAACACTCGTACCTCTTATTAAAATCGAAGAATTTATGGCAGACTTTCAAATTCTGTAATAGAAGCAGCAATGATTCCCTGACAATGACTTCAGTGTTGGATGATGTCTTTACTGCTTGATACGAAAGTACTCAAACGTCTAAGAAGTGTGCAAACTATACAATGATTTTAAGGGGCCCTTTGTGGTTATAAAGCTGACGTCCTAGTGGCCTATGCTGGTATTACAGGTGACAAATTTGCTTTATTGTGTGCTTCCCTTTCCCTTTTAGCTTCATATATTCAGAAATACAGTAAATAAGGTAATTGAATTGAGTGGGAAATGTCATGGGAAATAATTTCTTTCATAATGTGGATATTTATGCGTTCTATCACTACACCCATGCAGTTATATTGGACTATTCAGGCAATGTCAATAGCATGACCCATGTTTGAGGTGGTTGAAATGATGTTACACTGGATTAAGTTTTAATTGACAGTCATAACACAATTCATACAAATATATAAGAATGAATAAATTAATAAACAATCATTTTATGGCTACTGGCTACAATTTTCATAAATCCCACCTGGATATAGCACACATTCTCTAACAGATTCAAGCTATATAACTTTTTTATACGTTACCAAATATGGTAGATTGAAATCAAATGTTAAATAGGCCCAATAAATACATGAGAAATGCTTTTAAAATTCATGAGAAATGTTGAAAGGGGCCTATGAACCAAAGCCAACACATATTTGTAATGTAATGTATGAAAGACATTACATAGACCATGCTATGAAAGTTTGGCTTTAAAGGATTACACATATGCTAAAGTCATGGTGGTCTCCAGGATACCGAGAGGTTCACACCTGCTTTTTAACAGCCTGCTGAAGTGCTAAAGATGACGTTTTCCTCTTTACAAGAAGATTTCAGCCTTGAGAATTGCACACACTGAACTGAACACTTCATTTGAGAGCAATCACAGAGGAACCGTGCGTTGAAACTCTCCCGTGAAAATTCTGCGGCTTGATAAATTTGCCGTTTGGAAGGAGATTTGATTTTAGGGAGAGAAAATATTTATTGCACTAGACTTAAGCACTTGGAAATGACAAAAATGATAATAATGTTGTTATTATTATTAAAGGCCAGGGTGATACGAGAATCCGTTATGATATTTAAAGGGCAGTGTTTCTCAATTAGGATAGCCACAGTGTGGATATCCATCTAATATCCATCCATATATATATATATATATATATATATATATACAGTATATATATGAAGAGTTCAGATGCAAAAGCCTCTAAATGCCATTTGAAATTTTCTTCTAAAATGATCATTTTTATCAAGCTTGTATATTTAAGTTCAGTAATTTCACTTAAATGACAATTAATAGGTAATCTTCATTGCCATTTAAGTGAAATTACTGAACTTAAATATACAAGCTTGATAAAAAATGATCATTTTAGAAGAAAATTTCAAATGGCACTTAGAGCTTTTGCATCTGAACTCTTCATATATATATATATATATATATATATATATATATATATATATATAAATAAACACTTTGGAATGTGTCTGTAGTGGATAAAGTTACAAGTTTTAAAACTTGTATACACTACAATTAAAATGGCATAGTAGTAAACAAATAAAAAGTCCCAGAAACCGTAATATGTAGTCATGTTGCATACTGAATTACATTGTAATCATCGCTACAAGGATGGCTAAGCAAGAAACTAATCTTCCTGAGGCAAATATTCTTATATGTAACATGACACACTGTAAGAAATCACGCCAGCTGCCTCCGTTCAGTTGCACATGTGTGTTTGGAAAGTGCTGAGCTTCCTGAAACAACGGAGGGAAACATATTAGCCTTCTTTAAAGGGTCTCGGATATCTTTTTGGGGGATGATGTGCATCTTTTTATTGATGCTGCTGTAATCCCCATCACTATAATTATCTCTGAAAATGCATTCATAATCATCAGACTTAGTGGCCACTGCCCCGTTGTTTTGTTATGATGCCTGATGATTTAGCTTTCAAACAGACTTCTGCGTGGTTTGACGAATTGTAAATCAAGGTAACTGACAGCTCCCGTTCTAAACAATGAGGTCTTCCCAGGAAATGAAAGGCATTCCTCTTCTCTGCCATATCAAAGTAATGTCTCCAAACAAGACTGACGGATGTTCTAAACAAAACCAGGATGTAGACATGGCAGAGCCACGCGGCACGGCTCGCCCACAGCAGTGTTCCCAGTCTCTCCATATGCAGTCCATTTTATAGGCCGAAAACCAAGTGAATTTTCATGCAATGACTTAAACCCTTCATGACTCACTAGAAGTGAGAGAACTAATGAATTAAAAAAAAGATTCACATTCATAAAAATCTAATTTGCTCATGCACTGGTTATGCAGTCCTTTTGATTCTCTTGTTTAGTATATTTGTTATACAAGGTTCATTTTGGGTCCCAATTTATATTAAGTGGCTTTAAAGGTCCTATATGTAACTTTTTTTTATTTTTATAAAATGAATCTTTTTTTTATTGCCTGTGTTTGATGGGGTTGTAATCACACATTGCAATGATCCACTTTTCGAGTTTTGCTATTACCTCTGAAGGCCAATATTCATATTTATATGCGAGGTCTCCGGGTCGGATTTATTGCGCGCTCCCGAGCCTCTCTATCCAGTCTATGGGACCAACGGCACTTCAGCTGACGACATGGAGTCTGATAACCCCCCAAAACATCCTGCCTCCACCACAACACAGACTCCAACACAAACTCCAAAAAAAAAAATCTTCTGAAGCTCGTCAGGCAAACCGTGAATCTGGTCGACTCCGGACGAAAACACGGATCAACATCGGCAACATATTAATACAACATAGTAAACTCTAATGAAATAGCAATGTAAACTACATGAAACATTAAATGATTACAAAAGAATGTTCCAGGATACCAAAAAGTAGCTGCTTTAGGATGTAACTTTTATTTGCTAGATCTGTACTGACTAACGTGACTCATCCCACTACCATCATATTGTTTATACACATTTCCAGACACGTTCAGTACTTCCTACGATCTTACTGTTACACTGAAATTTTTCAGTTTAGTTCACTAACCGTTTTCGTTATCATATATTATACATTCACCTATGTTGACATTGCTGATTGTGAAAGACACACGAATAGTTAGTGAAATGGCTTATCACGTCGGCTAAATGCAGTTTATTGTAACATTATCATGGTGTGCGAACACAGAGCATTAGTTCAACGTCAAGCTGATAAAAGTAGGCAATTATTGTAACTCTAGTGGAGTTTCCATTAGTTTCCAGCATGTTGTGTGGTGCTTTCGCCGTTGCGTTGAAAGTCTCCGTGTGGCCGGTAGTGATTGCTCGCTCTTGAGATCGAGCACGCACACAAGCACGAGCGCTCTTGATGCATTCTGAAACATCACCACTAGAGGCCGCTAAAAAACGCATACAGCACCTTTAAGTATTATGTACCTACATTGAAATTAATAATTTGATACAATGGGACTTACAAACATGTTTTTACATTGTACTTGTAAACAAAAAACAGTAAATTTGTACATTTGTAATTACACAGTTGACCCTTCCCTTAAGGTCCGTACACACCGGGACGAATATCAGTGCGCGTTATTCGTCAGCGTTTTTCAACGCTTTTTTTGTGTTCACACTCAAGCGATTTTCGCTGACGATGAGGCGAGTGAACATGCAAATTCATTCCCTGACATTAGAGGGCGCCAATTTGCTCTGCAATACCACTCCATATCAGTTTTCTTTTATTAAATTTATTATGTTTGCAGTCGCTGTCACGTTTATCATATAGTTCTTCACGTTCTAGCACCAACTAGACCAGCAGCTCTACATTCATCTTGCCTTGCATCTTCCTCGTCTTACTTCCTCCTGGCTGTGTAGACGGCGACACTACTTGGCGTAGATCTTCTTCGCTGTTGCATATGTGTGCTCGGCAAGACAGTTTTGTGTTTGAGTGCCCCCAAGTTGTGTTTTACAGTAACTTCAGAAGCTTCAAACACGTGAGCAAAAGCGCCAATCTCATTGGTCGTATGGTTTTTGACACGGCGCGCCAAACTAAAAAAACAAACCCGAGGCGTTTTGTTTTTTTTTAAATCCCGCTTTTACGCGTGGTGTTTTACGCGTCAGTGTGCACACTCACATTGGCGCCCTTTGTTTAGTCATGAGGCGTTAAACGTTGGCGAATATCACGCGGGTAATTCGTCCCGGTGCGAACAGGCCTTTACGCCTTAACCCACCCTTAAACCCTTAAACCAACCGAACCTTTCCCGTATCACACCTCAATAGCAGCGAAAGTGTTTTACAATACAACATGAACACAAGTACATTGTACTTATTTTTCAATGTAAGTACATAGTACTTAAAGCCACTTAATATAAAGTGGGACCTATTTTTGTAATCTACAAGTAAGCCATTCATAGATCGATGCCCCTGAATGGCAGTGTTACTACTAAGACGTTGCTGTTTGTTTTTAGTCAGGTTTTACCGAGTTAGATGTGTTCCTGTGTCAATTTGTTCAATTTAGTTGATTCTGGAACAACATTCTGTACATAAATTTAGTCCTAACCATATTCCTACCCCTAAACCTAACCTAACCCAAAAGATTTAGAGGGAAATTATGGTAAATAACATTGATGTAGAAGCACATAACCCTGTCCCACAAATCTGATTGCTTGATTGGAATGTTGTCCTGGGATCAAAAGATGTTGATCCAGGAACATGTTGCACTTAGTGAAATCGGGTTCTGCAGCATCTTGACCAGCCCGCCAACATTGCTTCAACCAATGGCATGAGTTTGGGGCGGGACTAACTGTGGGTCAGACCGTATTTGAAAATGGATTATTTTTGATAATGATAAAAAAATAATGATAATTTGACGAGTATCAATAATTTCTTTATATATATATTCACCTCAAATAGATCAGTTTGCTTTTAAGAGTGTTTTGCAACACAGACACACTCACGCACATATAGACAAACACATGTACACCCACGCACACTGGAATTAAGCAAGTGTTTCGCCCTTTCTGGATGGCGTCCAACGCGGGTCCACCCCTATTCACCAAGCTCACTTCAAACGCACTGGCCACCTGCCAGAAATGTTTTTCCCCTTAAAGAAAGAAAAAAAAAAAGACTAAAATATATAAACATTTGGACTGTTTTGAAAGCGTACACTTAACACTAAGGGATAAGACATGTAATTATGGGTATGAAGAGACACATTCAGCATTGGGTATTGTAACTGCGGGGAGCGGACGATATGACTAAGACCTGGACCTTGACGAAGGGATACAGGGCCAAAAGGCACCTATTAATGCCGCCCAGTCGCCTTTACAGGGCAAAAGGTTTGTGGAGGGAAAAAAAGCTCCTGTTCAATTATAGGATTTTCCCAATAATTATTCTCTGAAAAACTGAAAGAATCAGAGATGAAAAGGAGCGCTGAGATCCAAGGAAAACAACATGCAAACTGCGGCCATAAACACATTGTTCTTGCACCTGCGTGTAAGGCCGCTCGCCCTTAGCAACCGCCCGTGTTTTGGTTCAAGCCCGCTTTTTGACGCAGGTTTCCTAGAAGGCTAATGAAACGCTTACAACAAAAATAATGTATGCAGAGGAGAGGTCACGTCATGTCAGATTAGCTTAGAACAGCTGTCTAAGTCTCCAAGGACGAGCAACACGGAAAACCCGCAAGGTCACAGGGAAAGATTTTGACTGATTGGAACCACAGCGCTTAAGTGTTTGCTTATGCTACAGACACGTAGGATGAAAGATCAAATAAAAACGTCAAAACAGTTGGGCTAATATGTGACGAGCTAGCTAATTGTTGTTCCAAAGGTGGTCTTATGCAAGACAGAACTTTTTTTTAAAAAAAGGACGTAGCGTTGCATATTGAATCAGAAATCCTTTTTCTCTTAGCTTGTGTTCCTCTTATGATTGGTCTCCTTTCTCTAGGGAATTGAACTTCAATGAACTTCAAGAGTTCCCCGTGGCCATTCGCACACTGGCCAAGCTTCAGGAACTGTAAGTAACCGAGACTAACTTACCCAGCATACATGTGTCAGCGTGCTTCCTTTAAAGTGGACCGCTTGGCCTGGCCTCGTGCTCCTTGTAAATCCCGCTTAGTCCCTAGAATGTGGTTCTCAAGCACAAGTTTCCTGCAAAAAAAGCAGATGCTTAGAGATGAGCGCTTAAGTCCTTCCTTCTCAAGTATCCTAAAGTGTTTTTTGCCTGCGGGACTGCCTCCCGACAGGTGTTTCTGTAAGATACAGAGGATGTTTACATGGGCAGATTTGAATTGACGCAACCAAATGCTTTTCACGTGTGCTTATGGGAGAGTTCTGCACTTTATAAAAAGATAAAATGCAATTGGACTCGATTGTGCAAGGTGATGAATTCAATTTCGGCACCCAAAAAAAGACCTTTTAACCTTGTTTATTTAACACGTGTAATTATTTTAGACTGTTTAGAATTTTCGGATTACAATTTGCTGGCAACATGTGTGCCATAAATTAACTTTAGCATGTTATATTCCCAGTGACGGCAGATGATGATGAATTATAAGCTGTTGCAGTGGTTGAATGTGTGGCCACTCCGAATAGCACGTCAGCGCTAAAATTTATAGCCTATACGGAACAGATGCAGTTAGCAAAAGCACTCCTAAAGCGGGTCTTGATCACTGGATTTCCTCATCCTATAGTAGACTGTGTTTAAGTGTGCAGATGGTCATATTCTCACTCTCCAATGCATCCTGCAGGGGATTCCACAACAACAACATTAAGGCCATTCCCGAGAGAGCGTTTGTGGGGAACCCACTTCTGCAGACCATGTGAGTATCTCGTCTCAGAAACGACAGTAAAGCCTTTTTTTGTTGACTAAACGTGTAACAGACAGGGCATGTTATAGAAGTTTGTTTATCTTAGCCAACGGAGCAGGAAATATATGACAAATATAATATAACGAGTGCCTTTTGCTTTCTCCTACCCGTATTAGCAAATGTATCGATTTTTATTGCAAGAAATAAGGCTTCACCAGTTAACATTAGTTAATGTATTAGTTATTAGTTAATGTATAAGTTACATTAGTTAAGAATTCTTCTGCAGCATTTAATAAGATTAGTGTATGTTAATTTCAACAATTACTAATATATTATTAAAATGTTGTATTTGTTAACATTTGTTAATGCACTGAACTTACATAAATAATCAATGTACAGCAGGATTTTTATTTACTAACATTAACAAAGATTAATAAATACTCATGTATTGTTACAACATGCAACATGTATTGTTCATTGTTAGTTCATATTAGTTAATACATTAATGCTAACAAATGAAACCTCATTGTCAAAAATGTCATTTTATCTGTTGAATAGTAGTCTATTTTGTAATAAACAATAGTTATGATGTTAACAGGGTTGGCATAAAAAGATAAAAATCTTTATTTTTTCTATATGTAAAGGAGGCCAGCTAGTAAGAGTTATGCTAGTTAAACCCTCACTCTCCTTATCTCAAGAGGCGCTCTAGCGACTAACGCTAGAGACTGCGGTCTTTAGCCTCCATGTTAGAGCGCCCCCATCCAATCCCAGTCAGTTACCTGGGTTTGAGGCCCGCACACAACAGCCCTGTTAGCATTTTTTTTACATATCAACCCTGTTACTACTTCTTTTTACATCTTAACCGGGTTACCACTTTTTTTACATATCAACCCTGTTACCAATTACTTTTACATCTCAACACTGTTACCACTTTTTTACATCTTAACCCTGTTACCAATTACTTTTACATCTCAACTCTGTTCCTACTTTCTAACATCTCAATTCTGTTACCACTTTTTTACATCTCAACTCTGTTACTACTTTTTAACATCTCAATTCTGTTACCACTTTTTTACATCTCAACTCTGTTACTACTTTTTAACATCTCAATCCTGTTACCACTTTTTTACATCTCAACCCTCTTACCAATTAATTTTACATCTCAACTCTTTTACTACTTTTCTAACATCGCAATCCTGTTACCAATTAATTTTACATATCAACTCTGTTACTACTTTTTTGACATCTCAATCCTGTTACCACTTTTTTTTACATTTCAACTCTGTTACTACTCTTTAACATCTCAACCCTGTTACCAATTAATTTTACATCTCAACTCTGTTACTACTTTTCTAACATCTCAATCCTGTTCCCAATTAATTTTACATCTCAACTCTGTTTCTACTGTTCTAACATCTCAATCCTGTTACCACTTTTTTACATCTTAACCCTGTTACCAATTAATTTGACATCTCAACTCTGTTCCTACTTTTGAACATCTCAATCCTGTTACCACTTGTTTTACATATCAAACCTATTACGAATTACTTTTACATCAACTCTGTTACTACTTTTTTAACATCTCAATCCTGTTACCACTTTTTTAACATCTCAATCCTGTTACCACGCTTTTACATCTCAACCCTGTTACCAAGAACAACACATTTTTGTTAAAGTTGATAAAAAAGACAACATTAAAATATTTTATAATCCTTAAAAACAATTGTGTTAAATGCTAAATTTGTTGTCAACTCTGTTACAATATAGTACAAGAAATAGTTCTGTTATGTCTCAGCATATGTAAAGTTTTATTAATTTAGCTGGATATGGCACTTTGTACTTATTAATGCTTAAAAAGATTATTTTGCTGAAAGGATTTAAATATGTCCTTGTCAAAATGGAAAAGGCAACCGTTTAGAATGATCCATTCAATTTTTAACAAAAACGAATGTATTTTTCTTCTCTGTTCAGTCATTTCTACGAGAATCCCATTCAGTTTGTTGGAAGATCAGCATTTCAGTTCTTGCCAAAGCTACACACACTGTAAGTACACGTCTATGTGTGAAATGATCACATACACATGATTAAATAGAACCGTTTGGCTTCCGATAATGCACCTCTAAAGTACCAGTTGGCAGATGTGTATAATTTCCATTTCATAATCGCTTTCCTTTTGATGAATACTGTAATCTTGCTCACCTCTTGCCATCACCTCTCTCATAAGTAAACATTAAACTAGTAATTTGTCTCCAAAAAACAGCACGTTTCAATTATAACCTCATAAATGCCAGAATATGAGATTTAGCTTTTCATAAAACCAGTAAAAAAGTAATTTACTTCTCTCCAATTACACAGATAATGCATAAGAATGCTGTGAGTGTCTATTCAGCATTCATTATTTTGATACAAAGTCTACCGTCTTCCATTGTTGATTTTGGGAAACTTTGCAAGTGTAATCAAAATGATGGAATCAAGTGGAATAATATATCCCTCTAGATGATGGAGAGCTAAGTGTGTACGGTAACAGTAGACATCCCTGTGGTTTTTCTGGATGACATCTTCATTAGCAGAACGATCCTCACTAATGAGTTATCTAATCTCGTTTTAGCTCTTTGAACGGGGCCACTGAGATCCGAGAGTTTCCAGATTTGAAAGGAACCACCAGCCTGCAAGTTCTGTGAGTCTGAGATCAAATGTCCCCATTTCACGCAGGATCGGTTTCACTTAAGAGACTTCCAGAAGTTCTTCCCACCGTCGAGGACAATGGAATAACCGTTGACAAAATAGAGATGCTTTTACTGATCTCTCAGCATGTCAGCAGGTTTCGCACAAGGCTAAAAACAATGCTTAGGCAAGGGCCTGCTGAACCGAGCCCTTCGATGTTTACTGGTGAAGCATCTGTTAATATGAAGTATATAGTTACTGATCCTAAAAGCCACGGATCATTAAACCACTCATTAGAGTTTAGGGGGAAGGGTTTTCAAACAGCTTTTTGGGCGCACCCCAATATTACGCCATTGTTTGAGTCAAAGTTGCTGTGTTGGGCTGGTCGGGATCCTCAAACTAAGCAACATTTTGATAGCGCCTCAGAGTGTTTACAATTTTTGCACAAAGCTTAGTTTGAGGAACCCGACCAGCCCAACACAGAAACAGTGTTTATTAACAATATTTACACTGTAAAAAAAAAAAAAAGACGCCTTAAATTTTTAAGCACAGTCAACTTAAAATTACATTAATCTGACTTATTAATATTTAATTTATTATAATTAATCAATCCATTTGAATGATCTTTGTCTTGGTTCCAGTAAAAGAATAAATAATAATCTAGACACCCTCAAAACAAGACTTGTTTTAGAAATATACTATACTATACTATATATTTTTTCATTTTTAATTTTTAACTTGCCCTAGAGATAAATCTCAGTTTATTCATTTTTAAGTCATATTTTTCAGTGCATTCACATTCATTTATTAATGTGTTTTTTTCACTAACTGTTTCTCTCGCCTGGTTCTCGCACACACACAGTGTAAACTTTCCTCTTTGATTTTCTTTCAGTACGTTGACCCGAGCTGGACTGACCGGCCTGCCATACGATCTCTGCCACCTGCTGCCTAAATTAAGAGTGCTGTGAGTTTCCAAACACAAATACGCACCTGCAACACACAAACACACTCAAAAGCTCAGCTCTAAAAGATTCTTAAAGATCCGAACTGGCAAAGGGAGTTGAAATTCCCCCAGAGGAATTTGATGTAACTAAACTTTCAAGGTGTTCCTAAAAGCCTCCTTTAACATGACTTCAAAACATCGGCAGGTGGATATTTTTAGCCAACTTTACTTTTTATTTTTGTATCATTTGCGCAAGCTTGTGCAAATGATTTGAAAGTAAAAAATAAATTCATTTTAATGAATTTTTGCATGTAATCTCTCTTTTTAACATGTTTAGGAGCAACCACTTTGAGTTAGAGAAAGCCCTGCAGGAAAAGCGAGACTGTATGAAACTGTTCAAATGATGAATTAGACCTCTGGGGAGAGTAGCTGCTTAACATGCCATTCTCTCTCGATATTCGCTTATTCTCTCTCCAAGGTTTCTTCTTGCATAAACACTATATTGGGTAAAAAGAAAGAACACTACAAGATGGTCTTAAAAGAGTTCACTTTTCAAAAAACTTATGCTGATAATTTACTCACCCCCATGTCATCCAAGATGTCCATGTCTTTCTTTCTTCAATCGAAAAGAAATTAAAGTTTTTGATGAAAACATTCCAGGATCTCAATATAATGGACTTTACTGGACAACAAACGGTTCAAGGTCCAAAAGACAGTTTCAGTGCAAAGGGCTTTAAACGATTCCAGATGAAGAATAAGGGTCTTATCAAGCCAAACGATCGCTCATAGCTGGGTTTCAGTCACGGTTTTCAGAATTCAGATGGAGGGCAGGGAGTGAAGAGCGCAATGGACGAGATGGAGGAAAGTCCGTACTGTACTACTTTACACGCTATTACAAGAGAAAGAAATAAACAGAAAACCAAGCATATGTTGGACGTGATCTGTACGTTATGAAGAAATATTGAAATATTTTCCTGCCATAGAGGCGGCAGATATCAGCAAATACCTCGTCTTACAGACATACTTTGACTTTACAAAGTTCGGAAACGTTACACGTTACACAAATAGTCACTTGAGTTGTATTAACTAACCTTTGACGAAGTGATCACTAACATTACACACACATGCGCATTTTACCCTTCGGCTCCTCCCGACCGCAGACGTATAGGTCTGCAAGCCATTTTTCCAAAGTTTTTCTATCAATTTCTTGCATTTCCCCCCCTTAGGAACAACTTTTGGTACACGAATAAAACTCCTTGTGGTTTGATCGATTCAAGTAACCATAAATGACTCAAAACACAGGCATTTTGAGTTTGTTATAGTGCTAAATACAGCAAATCACTTCCTGCCCTCCATTTGTATTTCGCGCCATGGCAACGCAGTGGCGTGATGTCATATGAAAACAAGCTATTTAAAAAAAAATAAAAAAGTTTACGTTTTATAAACTCAAATGCTCGCCTTGCTTTGTACTGCAATGCATGTTCGTGACTCTCCTGTTCAATTCGTTCATTTCGTTCGTTGAATGACTCGGAAAAAGATTTGAAGAGTTCAGATGCAAAAGCCTCTAAGTGCCATTTGAAATTTTCTTCTAGAATGGTCATTTTTATCAAGCTTGTAAGTTCAGTGATTTCACTTAAATGGCAATGATAATTACCTATTAATTGTTATTTAAGTGAAATTACTGAACTTAAATATACAAGTTTGATAAAAATCATCATTAAAGAAGAACATTTCAAATGGCATTTAGAGGCTTTTGCATCTGAACTCTTCATTTGTTCATTTTGATTGTCACAAACGCGCATCAGAACAGAGCAAGGCGAGCATTTGAGCTTATAAAACTTAAAGTTTGTTATTTTTTTTACTTTTCGCTTGATAAGACCCTTATTCATCGAATGGAATCGTTTAAAGCCCTTTGAACAGTTTGCAGTTTGCACTGAAACTGTATGGAGAAAAATGCTGGAATGTTTTCATCAAAAACCTTAATTTATTTTCAACTGAAGAAAGAATGACATGGACATCTTGAATGACATGGGGGTGAGTAAATTATTAGCAAAAGTTTTTTTTTTTTTTTTAAAGTGAACTACTCCTTTAAAATTAAACTCATAGTAACATGCAACTTGGAGTACTTACTGTATTAGAATGTTAGCTACATTGAGAAACATGTACAGTACATGTACATTTCATAATGACAGAAACAGTATAAGGGAGAGATGTAGGAAAAAATGAGAAATGTAATGATCATTTCAGATCATGTTAATTGAAACTAAATAAGCTAAATCATATTATAAATCACATATTGTGTTTTCCTTTTCAGTTTAAAAATATTGTTGGTCTTTTCACATTCAAATAGAAACATTTGAACCGACTTGCATTAATGGGTCATTGATAATAATTGGCCATTGAGGCTCAAGTGTATTTCTGTGCCACAAATAATAAATGAATAATGGTTACGTGATGAATGTTTTATAGATTCACAGACCCACCAGTGTTTAAACTGGGATAGAAGTGGAAAATACATCACAATAATTATAACTTGAATATTTCTATATTTTTGTATTCATTTGATATTAAAGTACTGATATGTACTATTATGAAATTATTGTGAAGTGTTACCAGTCAACCTCCGTAACCTCAATATTCGTGAGCTCTGGTAAGAAATGCTTTTTGAGATAAGGAAGTCTCATTTCTGATCTATATTTGTTTGATTTCAGGGAGCTGTCTCACAATGTCATAGTAGAGCTGCCGAGTTTCTACCACTGTGCCTCGCTTCAAGAGATGTGAGTTCTCTAGTTTAATAGAATAATATTGCCAATATATCTAAGATAACTCTAAGAGACCTAAATAACCCATATATATTTGACAAATGACAAATGGACGTCATTACAGTAGCAATCCATCATTGTCCATATTTTGGAGGCTTTCAAGTGTGTCCTTGGTCGCTGTGTATGATGTCTGGCGTAGTGTGTGTGTGATGCAATAATACCAGATTTTTTTTGTTTTGACTCGGCAGAGGCCTGCAGCACAATCTGATCAAACAGATTGAGATGAACACATTCCAACAACTCAACTCTCTGCGCTCACTGTGAGTACTGTACACACACACACACACACACATCTTATGATGGCCTTAAGAGTTACAGTACAATATAAAAGCACCAGTGAAAATGCTCCCGATTTGCATTTTCTAATTTAAAGGTACACTATGTACATTTTTTGTACGTAGTGTAACATTTAAATATTGAGTTGATGCATCACCATGATTCACTTGTTATAAATGTGTTTATATTTTAGACCTGATGGGATGGATTTAATGGGAAATTGCGTACATTCGTAACTCATAAAGTTTCTGGTGTGTGAGTGGCAGTTAAAGGATTAGTTCACTTTTGAAAAAACTTTTGCTGATAATTTACTCACCCCCATGTCATCCAAGACGTCCATGTCTTTCTTTCCTCAGTCGAAAAGAAATTAAGGTTTTTGATGAAAACATTCCAGGATTTTTCTCCATATAATGGACTTACATGGGAACCAGACGGTCCGAGGTCCAAAAGACAGTTAATAACAGTTTCAGATGCAGCTTCAAATGTCTTTAAACGACACCAGACGATGAATAAGGGTCTTATCATGCGAAATGATCGGTTATTTCAAAACTTATTCCAAAAATGTAACCTTTCTAAGGACAAATGCTAGCATTGCTCTATTCTGTGAGGCGCGTTTGCAACGTCACGTAATACGTAATTACGTTCAAAAGGTTACGGGCCGCGTAGCCGGAAGTACAGAATCAAAATCGTCCGACATCGTTGTTTTACCTTTTAATTCCTTTTTTGTAAACGGTGTTTGAGTTAGTTTGCACGTTCAACCTATGCCTTCAACTTGTAAACACTCTGACTCTGTACTTCTGGCTACGTCACCCGTGACCTTTTGAACGTAATTACGTATTACGTGACGTTGCAAACGCGCCTCACAGAATAGAGCAAGGCTAGCATTTGTCCTTGGAAAAGTTACATTTTTGGAATAAGCTTTGAAATAACCGATCGTTTCACATGATAAGACCCTTATTCATCGTCTGGTGTCGTTTAAAGACATTTGAAGCTGCATCTGAAACTGTTATTAACTGTCGTTTGGACCTCGGACCGTCTGGTTCCCATGTAAATCCATTATATGGAGAAAAATCCTGGAATGTTTTCATCAAAAACCTTAATTTCTTTTCGACTGAGGAAAGAAAGACATGGACATCTTGGATGACATGGGGGTGAGTAAATTATCAGCAAACGTTTTTTCAAAAGTGAACTAATCCTTTAATTTAATCAATTTTGGTCAATTTTGACATTGAGCTCTTTTTTTGTACATTTGGAGTGCTGCCAGTACAGACAAAAACGACAAAAATTGGTGTTGCCGACACCGTGTTATTCTCTTTTTAAAATGTGCATCCTGTTGACTTCAATGGGGCAAGTTCTAAACCTGCTTTTAGCCTCTTAACATTCTTGATTTGTCATTACGAGTGCACAGCCATGTGAGTGGTGTAATTAAGAGTGACCACGGTCAATCTGGCTCAAAATGTGCTCAAAAAAAAATTAGATCAATGTTAAAATTGACCGGAGTTCTCCTTTAATGGGTAAAGCTACAGTAACGTCATCAGATAGTCAGGTTTTATCTCGTAAGCCGAGTAGTGAAGCACAACCAAAACAATGTTCTTCCACAAAATACATCCAGTTTTGTTTTTTGTTTTTTACCACTACTGGTCCAAAATTTGCAGTGTACCTTTAATAAACATTTTACATTACAAATATAACAAATTGATGAATAAAAATGCCTTTGCTTAGAGCCTCTCAGACTGCATGATTGATTTGATTTGAGAGAGAAAAAATCAAGTTCACGTGTCTTAAACATTCCTTATATGTATATATATATTTATTTATTTTTTGAGAACTTTAATATGAAAGAATTCATAGAAAGAATTCATAGAAATAATTGGTAAAGCTCACCAACATTTCCACCAAGAGGCCAAGACAAGTTAACCAATTAACAACTGCCAACTCAAAGCCAGAAAATTATATACAAAACGAGGATTATTGTTAAAATAATATGAGAGCAAGACAGATATCTGAAACTTTCATGTTGGCTGTCAAGTTCTGAGCAAAAGCATTTCTATTTTTACGAGAAAAGGAGAAATGGCAGGTGTATGGATGAGTAAATAACATTTCATTACAGGGATCTTAGCTGGAACCGGATCAACACCATCCACCCTGACGCCTTTTCATCCCTTAAGTCTCTCATTAAACTGTAAGTATACTATATTCAAAACACTGCCAGTGTAAATCATTGTATTTTCCACTGAAGATAAATCTCACACAGCCAAGATGTCTATATAGATATACAAAACTGTTATTAAACTGTGACTTTTCACAAACAGAGATTCCATGATGCACACTTTTGAGTTTCTGTCATTCGTGCAATGCTTTCTTTGGCTCAAAGTGAAAAGACTGTGCTTGTAATCATGGTTAAAAGCTCTGTGCAGTGTTGAAGACATGCATCGTCAGTCACAGGCGATTAAATGCAAGCAGCATTAGGTGAAGAATGTGATGAATGAATCAATGTGTGAGGCTGATAATTGTGTGCAGGAGTGAATGACAGTGTCATACCCGAGTAGATATCGCAATAGTTATAGACCTGGTATAAACTTATAAGCAATTACTCTGGAGCAAATTCACTACCAAATAAAGTGCATGGAAAAGGCATATCTCAATACGAGTACAGCTCCTTCGACAGTATGTGTGGCATGCTGTTGATTACCACAAAAAAATAAAAATAATTTTGACTCACGCTTCACTTTGTGAAAAACAAGCAAACATATTTTTCTGTGGTTATTAACAGCATTCACTTGTGTTGAACCTGGAACATGCACAGTTTTATTTAAACCGATGCATTTCAGCTTTTATCACAATTAAAGGGTTAGTTCACCCAAAAATGAAAATTAAGTCATTAATTACTCACCCCCATGCTGTACCAACCCCGTAAGACCTTCGTTCATCTTCGGAACACAAATAAAGATATTTTTGATTGAATCTGAGGGCTGGATCACTCTTCCATAGACAGCCTGAGGGACTGCCTCTTGACGGCCCAGAAAGTCATTAAAAGAAAAGGTTTAAATATTCCATGTGCCTACAGTGGCTCAACTATAACTTTATCAAGCGACGAGACTACTTTTTTTGCGAAACAAAAAACGTAAATAACGACTTTATTCGACTTTCCATTACTTCCTTATGGGCGCATGCGCGAGAACTGAGACGAGACCGTTCTTCTTCGACTACTTTTTGTTACCGGCTGCTCACCGCTTAGGAGTTTTACCGCCCCCTACCGTATAAGATGACGTACTGCTTGTAAACAGAACGTTTTGCGCCTCCGGCTATATCAGTACGTCATCTCGCGCGCAGTTCAACATCACCAGACTAATTTACATAATCTTCCCGGTACTGCGGTGTAAACGCAGTAAGCAACCGGTCTGGGGCAAAAAAAGTTCCTATGAAAAAAGTTCCTGGGACAAATAGTTCCTGGCAATTGTGGTGGAAACGTGGCTACTCACAAACACTACAAGAAATGTCAAATCAGAAAAAGCATAATCCGGGCACTTATTGGTTGCAAGATATTATTGGATCATATTCATAGAGTTAATGTGATGAACCTGTAGTTACTCTGCAAGGATACCTATGTGAACTTGGAAAACTGACTTCACACATCCACTAAAATCACTAAAGCGCCGTTTACACTACACGCGACCAAGCGACACGATACCATTAATTTTCAATGGTGAGCGGGCGACTTCCGGCGACACGCGCGGTCGCGACGTTGGCGACCAGAGGGGCGTGTCCAGCGACACGACAAAGTTGAGAAATGTTTTACTTTATGCAAATGAAGAGTGATTTTCGCAAGCGACAACCAATAGGAGTGAAGTCAGTGGAGCGCGTCACTCATCAGTGCTGAGTCTGACCGAGGCAAGTTGAACGAGAAGCTCATTTTAGCAGTCAGAAACTGTCCTATAATGGATGATATATCTCTGTGTACATACAGTGGTGTTCACCCTACTGACTCCGTGACTGAATGGTTTCAGGGAACCAAGATAGACTGGTATTTGCACGTTTGCTGCAGTTAAATAGCCGCGATGGCAGCACTCACTGTTTCTCGTTCATCTTTAATATTATGCATTTTATGTATGATTCCATTTACAGTATATTTAGACTTTTCCTTCCAAAATATTTGTTTGTAGCGGCAATAAAACGCATTTGGTGTCTAACATAGAGTAACATCCGTGAATGTCAATCACAAACATTACTAAGCAACCAGTAGTGGGGAACGCCCTCCAGCGCAGCCACTGGCCACCTGCAGCGACAAAGTCCAGTGTAGTGTGAACGGGGCTTAACACACCAGCTAACTGCATAACTGCAAAATGGCTAAAACTTCAATGTGATGGTTGCCTTTTTAACAGCATCACGCATCACTGACGGTAACACATTTCACTCCAATAGCCGCTAAAAGGACTCGCGGGAGCCGCCATTGTGGCAGAACTTCACCTGCTGTTAGCATCCCATTGACTCCCATTCATTTTGGCGTCACTTTGACAGCGAATAACTTTACATCTGAGGTGTCCAAAGACTTCATTTGTCCATTATTTATTTCTAAAGAAACACGACAATGTATAAAAGGCTCCATTACCTTGTAGCTTACGTCACGGCCCCGCAGAAAGACTTTTTGAAAAAATAGGATAACGATTGCATCATAATCGACTCTCCGTTGCACAGTAGAGACTAACCGTATAGACAGGAGGCATGAAGTCCGATAAAATCAAGGGAGAAGCCCATAGAGAGTCATAAAGTTGACCCTGCTGCTAGCTCAAGGACTGCTAATACTCACTCTCTCCGTCTCTGTGAGATTCGGAAGAGGATTATTCCGATTTCACTCGGCACAGCCACTAAAAGACATACAGGTTAACTCAGTTTGAGCCTGTGCAGAACGCCTGGTGATCAGCTTTTAACAGGCTTCAATTTTCTCTGTTGAAATCAATAGGGCTGCTGTGTCCATTTATTTTACTGTCTAAAACCTCATGACTCTAATTTCAAGATTTCCAACAGAAGATCTCAAAGGCACAATGTTGACAAACCTTCACACAAAATTATCTTATAGTATAATATGGGACATTTTAAGTAGGTACTTCATGTGTAGTACCACTTTTGCTCCATCTGTAACTTTTGCTCCATCTGTATGTTTTTTTACACAATGATGATCCATCTATATCTCCTCTCTCCATCCAGAGATCTCACTGGGAACCGATTGAGCAGTCTCCCGCTAGTTGGGCTAACGAGTCTAACTCATCTTAAACTGAAAGGCAACATGGCACTTTCACGTTCTTTCAGAGAGGAGGACTTCCCCAACATAAGGTACATTTTTGATAACCAACAACCCCAAATAAACTCCACTATCAGAATTGCTTGACTTAAAACACTTTCATGTTAAACCATCAAAGAAAATTCACAAGTGTATGTGGTCATTAAGTCCCACAACACAAATGCCTCGAATAGCTCAAAAACACATGAAGGTTGTACTCTGTTTTGTGAGAAACATTCAACCGTTTGTAGATTTGACAGTTTCAAGATACTAACAATCTGAAACAGGCTGTGCGTGCCCCAAGGAACATTCTGTTCATTTGTACGAGTAAACGATTTCTCTTGACTATCTGGCTTGATGCAAAGTCATCTGACAGGCGGAAAGATTTTTTCAAGATACCTTATTCTCAATACAAGAGAGGCTGTTATAAATATCCTGTCCCGATTCATCAACAGCACAGGGCTTTGGAAGCGCTCCAAGACTTCAGCCTTAAGTGCTGCCGTGATTTGATTAGCACCTCAAGAAATCAGAGATTTCAAGTATTACCATTTCCAAAAAGCAACTGATTACAATTAAAGAGAAGTCACGGTTTAAGTCGTGAGCCAAATGCATTTAAAATAGCCTTAGCAGTTAGATGAATTGCTAAATTACTTCATGCATTATTTGCAGATTGATGAATCATTTTTTCCTCTGAAATGGGATTTTTTTTTTATAGTTTTCATATATACTTAAACTGATGCAATATGTCCTTATTTTAATGTTAAAGGAGTTGTCCACTTTAAAAAAAAAAACATTCGCTGATAATTTAGTCATCCAAGAAATCCATGTCATTCTTACTTCAGTCGAAAAGAAATTAATGTTTTTGATGAAAACATTCCAGGATTTTTCTCCATATAATGGACTTCATTGGGAACCAAACGGTTCAAGGTCCAAAAGACAGTTTCAGTGCAAACTGCAAACTGTTGAAAGGGCTTTAAACGATTCCAGATGATGAATAAGGTTCTTATCTAGCGAAACGATCGCTCATTTAAAAAAAAAAATAACAAAGTTTTAAAGTCGTTCATCATTTTGATGAACGAGTTCAAATAGGAGAGTCATGAACGTGTATCACTAAACAGAGCAAGACGAGCATTTGAGCTTATAAAACTTAAACTTATTATTATTATTTTTTTTTTAAAGAGCGATTGTTTCGCTTGATAGAACCCTTATTCATCATCTGGAATCGCTTAAAGCCCTTTGAACAGTTTGTAGTTTGCACTAATACTGTCTTTTGGACTTTGAACCATTTGGTTCCCACTGAAGTGCTTTATATAGAGAAAAATGCTGGAATGTTTTCATCAAAAAACTTAATTTCTTTTCGACTGAAGAAAAGAAAGACATGGACATCTTGGATGACATGGGGGTGAGTAAATTAGTAGCAAAAGTTTTTTTTTTAAAGTGAAAGGCAAACAAATTTAGGTTCTGGGAACGTTAGTTTTTGGTTCCCAGGACATTCCTAGAACTTTCCCTTAAGGATAAGGGAACATTCCCAGAACATTCTCCTTACGTTATAAAAATGGAACCTAAAAATAACCTACATGGAACGTTCCTATAAGGTTCTTGTTTGGTTCCCAAAAAAATAACCTCACGGGACTATTCGGGAACGTTAGGGAAACATTCTGTGTCTGCTGGGCTACTCCTTTAAAACTCAATTTGGCACATAATAATAAAACTATTTGTGGTATACAAATATTTGATGGAACATATAAAATTATTTTGAATTGTAAACATTGCTTTTGTTGAAACAGGGTAATCGAGATGCCATATGCCTACCAGTGCTGTGTATTTGGAGCCTGTAACAGCTACAAAGCAGCCAGCCAGTGGGAAGAACAGATGGGCAGTGAAGAGGAAGATCTCCAGAAGAAAGCACTGTCCCTGTTCCCCATTCACACTGACAACAACTGTAAGTCCTACAACTTCTCACAAATCTGTCAAACATTATGACTAGGAAGAAAGTGGCAGTGGTAGCAAGCACCATTTGCAAAACAGTACCTTTTTTAACTTAGTGCAATAACTACAATGTGGAAAATAGTAATAAATAACGAGGAGGAGGTGTCTACATTTTGACAGGTAGTGGTGGTACTTCAAAGAATATTCTTTGAAGTACCACCACTACCTGTCAAAATGTAGACACCTCCTTATTATTTATTACTAATTTCCACATTGTAGTCACTGAAGCTATGATATAACACAAACAGAAGTGTGAGAATTGCATAGTGACCATCCACACGTGAAGATGATTTCAAGCATTTAAGCTTTAGATCAAAATGGTTTTAGACTTCTTGAGATGGTCTCTTCAACTTCTTAATCGACATGCAAATGGCTAGAAAAAACCAGTTAGTTAAGTTTAAATGATCTGAACTTATTGTTGCAAGTTTCCCAACTCCAATACTGTATTGTCAAGTCACTCAAGTTTGTACAGTAAACCTTTTGTCAAAGTCCCTGCAGCCCAAAATGAAAACATTGACGTTACACAAACACGGTTCTCATATGAAAGGAACATAAAAGCACCACTTGTAGCGGTTTTCCTAAGTGTGTGTGTGTGCGAATCTATTTTTATTTGCTCTCTTCTATCTGCCAGTCTCTTCATCTTTAATTAGCACAGTAGAAACATGTCAGGGCCTTACAGTAACCGCAGGTATTTGACAGATGAAATAAAATGTGTCTTTTCTCCATGCATTCCTCGATGGGATCTGATCAGGTTTCAGACTTGAAAGCAGCCTTCCGTAATTACACTCCAAGGGAAATAAGATAAACATTAACAATTCAAGGTCCAAAACATACCATTTGGCTTATCGGAAAATAACAAAACCAGAGCGTGAACAAAGCCTGATGATGGATTGCACACTGAAGGAGAAATGGAAAGTTGCAACTGAGATGTGTTCGGTGTTGAGTGCTGCTAAAGCCCTTAGATAAATTAATCCGTTCCAGCAGACTTGATGTCCATACCGTGGTGATTAATCTTCTGCCAGACTGAGTGCATCATGGCATCTTGAACACCGAAGACTATTTCATCATCCTGCCGTAAATGCGCAAACCAAAGGTGCCTCATGCTTTTCATGTGTTCACTTGCAGATGACCTTGACTTAGAGGAATTCCAGTTAGCTATTGAAGAGTCCAAACTACAAACCAGCATACAGTGTACCCCCATCCCAGGTAAATCCCATCAGCAACACATCTCTACTCTAGGCCACATGTATGCCACCAAGACGAGCACATATCGAGCACAAACAAGCTAAACAACACGCACGTTGAAGAAAAAAAAATGTTTTACACCAAATGTACAGACTGATCTCATGAAGTAGCGTGTGTATGACACGCCAATTCGTATTTCCATTTTTGGCGTGCTATCAACACGCATAATCGCTTTTCAGCGGGTTTATGAACGCCGTTGACTTAACGTTATTACTTTATATATAAATATATGACTTACCTCAACCCCGTCCCTAAACCTACCCGTCACTGGGGTTAATGGCATTTATGACTGTTCCCTTACAATCCTAGGAAAGAAAAACATAGCTCCCCAGATGTAGATCTACATTTTGCTTCGTTTCACTCGGACATTTGACGGCGTGTACAGACACGCGGAATGACGCGGACGTTGGCGTAGACATACACGCGGATAGCTCAAAATGCGTAGAGATAACACGCCACTTGACTCGAAATTGGCGTGTATGTTTACGCAAAACAAGTTATGATGTCATGTTGCAATGTATGCACACTTCACCGAATTTCCACCAATACTCAGCTTAGCATGATTTGATAACCATGTGGAGAAATCTCACTTTCAGAAATGGTGCTGATATAAAAAAAGAAAGAAAGATGGTTTCAGCTGTGAACCATTTATCTAGAAAACAGCTACTGTTGTTATATTTGATTTTGCATTTTAATAAATTTGACAAATATTAATAAATGTTCTTCAGTATATTCGTAATTAACATTTATATACTGGGCCTAAAACTAACATTTTGCCACATCTGGCAAATGGACGGTGACTTAAACTGCCATTGAACTGTTTTTGCAAAAACAGCCAGTTATGACACCAACATATTAAATACCACGGGAAATTGACAGTTATCTATTCCAATTTCAATACCACAGCACTAACTACACGCCTAACTCATTTACATTCAAAACATAAATAAAGACAAGTAACAGTGGTTTTCAGGTAGAGACATTATATAAAGTAATCAAATGTAAAAATCGTCACTGTATAAATTAAACAGATTAATCCTTATTAAAGTTTCAAAAGTTATTCAATCAAGAGAAGAGAGTCATTTTTTCTTTGTACTTTTGTTGTTTGATTAATATTGAAAACACCGAGAGCAACACAAATATTAGGCTGCTGTCACAAGACCTAATGCACGGACCCACTATACTGATACTTTTACACATGTGTTGTCTTACTGGACTGTTTATGTTCACTCAAGCCATAACCGACGTCATAACAGATGGTAGGATATTTGTCGAAATGGACATTTTTTTTAATACATATGTCCGTTCAAAAGCAAGAAGATGTGAAATAGAGCTCATTTCAGTATTCGCGTGCTGTTTGAGACTCTTTTTTCTGGGTGCGCGCTTCAGATCTTTGCGCACTCTAATCTTTTCACACAGCACATGAGTAACGAATTGAGTTCCCTTTTGTGTCGTCTTGCATTTGAATATTTAAATTTGGCAAGGCTTAAACTTTCGTGACAATGCAGCACTGGCCCATCAACTGTCCCGAGTTCACATTTGTTCACGTTTTTGTTCTCACAATGCAATTCGAATTCGATTTACACCGATTCATATTCTCGCCAACGCCGATTTCTACTCGCATTTCGTGCTCTGTGAGTGTTTTAGGTAGCCTGGCATGCCAGACCTACATCAAGATGTTAGGTCTGGAAACTCTTCATTGACACGGCTCAATCCGAGGGGTGGGATAAACGGTTGTCTTTCAAATTCTCTCTGCACGCAATTGGATAGCGCTAAAGCCAATCAGAGCAACAAAGACGGTGACGTACTCAGCGGAGCAAGTTGATATATTAAACTTTTACCATATCCAGTCCAGCTGTCAACATTGAACATTGAAAATAAGGGACATTTCCCGTAATCCATCCCCAAAATAAGGGATTTTTTTTTTTTACACGACCCACAAAGTTAATAAAAAACTTAAATAAAAAACGAATCATTAAAAGTCTAAAGAGTTTATAACTAGCCAACATATGTGTGAGAGAGAAAGAGACAGTATGTGTGTTTGTTTGTATATGAGAGAGAAAGAGACAGTGTGTCATTAAAAAAATAATATCATAGAGAATGTTTAAATATTAATATCAGCTTACGAGGGAAACGGAGGCGGAGTGGTGCTTCGGGGTGGTGGAGATGACTCGGGAGAGGTCCGTGCACCTATACCGATCAGAGCGCGCGCTGACACGGAGTAAAGCCTTTATACTCGACGTGACAGCACGAGCGCGGGCGGCAAGTATGACAAGTTGATCATTTCGCCACAGCTTTTTTGTAACAACGCGCGCGGCGCTGCCGCATCCGAGGATGAACGACTTCAAACCGAATATGTCCGAGCTTGCTCTGACCGTCGCAACTCTGTCATCATTATGTTAAGCCCCCCCCCCCCCCCCCTGTTTATGTAAATGACCATAGAGCGTAATACTGAAGAAGGTCAAATGTGGCCGACTATTATTCTCTTTTATCAGCACAGTCTCATCCCAAGACGTCATATAACTGACGTCTTGTGACCATACGTCAACATCAGCCTTTTTAGGGTACCCTTAAACGTCAGTTATGACGTTATCGGATCCTAACCCTACCCGGTTAAAGGTAAAGCGTCAGTTGTATGACGGCCCGGGATCGTCATGTAATCGACGTTTAAGTGTACCCTAAAAAGGCGGATGTTGACGTATGGTCAAAAGACGTCCCAAGACGTTAGTTATATGATTTCTTGGGATGAGACTGTGTTACTTTTATAATCTATACGTACAAGCAATTGCATTACAACCATTTACAAATGTCTGCCATATTCTCTGAACAACTTCACAAACTCTTTTGAATTATGGGGGAATGAATCTAGTTAGATTCTTGCTGTACTATTCTATCTTTGTGTGAAGATGATAATAAAGATGCATTGGGTCTCATAAAACAAGCACACAAACTTGTGTACTTTTGAGAAAAAACTTCTCACATTAAAAGTTGCACTTCTTTCAAAGCAACAATTGGTGCAAGAACTATTTTAAGAAAGATTTACAAAATACTGTGTGTTTTATTTTGTTGTGTTTTTGAATAAGCCTCAAATTAATGTGTTCTTTATCTGACCATTTCACCCCTTCAGGTCCATTCAAACCATGTGATAACCTGTTTGACAGTTGGGTGGTACGGCTTGGCATGTGGCTCATCTCTTTGGTCTCGCTGACGGGAAACAGCCTTCTCCTCTTGACTGTCTTTGCATCCCCCAGCTATCTCTCCCCTGTTAAGTTCATCATCGGCACCATCAGCGGCGCCAACCTGCTTACAGGCCTCTGTACCGGCACCTTGGCATTGGTCGATGCCCGGACATTTGGAGAGTTCGCCTTGCACGGAGCTCAATGGGAAATGGGTGCTGGTTGCCAAACTACAGGCTTTCTTTCAGTACTAGCCTCGGAGGGGTCCATACTCTTCCTGACTTTGGCTGCAGTGCAGTGCAGCGTGTCCGTGTCTTGTGCCCGTGCCTACGGAAAGTCGCCGTCCCTGGGAAGCGTGCGAGCCGCCTCTGTGGCGTGCCTGGCACTTTCGTTGGCAGTTGCCGCTTTGCCTCTAATTGGGGTCGGGGAGTACGGTGCAACTCCGCTCTGCACGCCGTCACCACTGCCGGATGGCGAACCCTCCACCTTGGGTTTTATGGTCGCTCTGATAATGATGAACTCCCTGTGTTTCCTGGTGATCACCGGAACTTACATCAAACTGTACTGGGACCTGATGAAGGGTGACTTCGACAGCATTTGGGATTGTGCCATGATCAAGCATGTGGCCTGGCTCATCTTCACCAACTGCCTGCTCTACTGCCCCGTAGCCTTCCTCACCTTCTCTTCCCTTCTGGGACTCTTTCCTGTGAGCGAGGAGGTCGTCAAATCAGTCGTCCTGGTACTTCTGCCTCTTCCTGCAAGCATCAACCCCTTGCTCTACCTCCTCTTCAATCCACACTTCCGTGAAGACGCACGTCTCCTTTTTAGAAGAGCTCACCACCATCATGACCACAACCTGGATTCCTTCGTCTCGGTTGACACGGAGAAAAGCTCATATGACTCCACCCAAGCCCTGGTTTCCTTTGCCGCTGAGGCGGATGCAGTGTTCGAGAGTTCATCACCACCAAACCAAGACACAGTTGCACGGTTTTCTTGCCCACCCTCAGTGCCTCTCATTCCATGCCAGATGCAGATGAAACCCTCAACCGAGAGGGAGAGCATTGGAGAGAACCTGGTCAGGTCAACACCAGAACTCATTGACAAAGAGCAGGAGTATTTCAGGAGCAGTGGACTGGAAACTCATAATGGCAACTGCTTTTCTGGAGTCTACCACTCCCCAAATCTCTCAGCTAGTTCTTAAGTCTTCTCCTAAACTCTAAAGCTTTCAAGGACCCAGTGAGTTTGAGAAGTTGTGAGCCTACATATGAACTGACCCCTAAAACCTTCAGAGCTAATGAACAATGAACTGTTTTAAAGTGGGACTATATACAAATATACTGTCCCAACTGCTACATGGCCTAAAAAAGCCTAATACAACATTTCGTGACACAATTTTGTGGGCCATTCAGTAATTTAAGCAATGTTCAAAAACAAATCTGCATTTATTTTTTTGTAACTTTGTAACTTGTTTGTGAAATTAGGTTTAAAGGAATGTTCTGGGTTCAGTGTCATCATCATCCAGAGAATACTGAGGATTTTCAAATAAAATAAAAATTCCCGTTCAACTCCTTCCATGAAAACAAACGAAACAATACAAGCACGAACAATGGAAGTCTATGTGGCAAAGTACTGCACGGGTATAAGTATAAAAATTCATAACAAATTCACCATGTATTTGGTAATGCATTGCATAACCATACGATTTACAGCTTTACAGCTCGAACGTCTTTTTTTTTTTTTTTTTGGATGATGAACCTGGAACATTCTTTTAATTAGAAAAAAATATCACAGGGATGTTTGCTGATGTAAAAGGAGTGATGTATCTAAATATGTCAATGTGAAAAAGGTCTCTGCATAAAGCTCAATTCTTATGTCATGTATCTCAAAGCATTATGCATTTATTTCCAAGTGTGTATATATCCTTGTTAATTATTTGCAAGTCGTAACTTGCTAAAGTCCACCTAGTGAATTAAAAAAATAATTGTATGGGAAGGTAAATACCTATGTATATTGTCAAATAACATTTAGTGAAAATACATTATGCCAAGAGATGAGGCCAGAAACATACTCTCTGCAAATACACAAAAGGCTTGGCCAATGAACTGCTAGCTCCCAGTCCCACTCGACATAGTGGTGGCAAGAAACCTTGAGAGAACAGTCACATACAAATGTCTGTGCCATACATTCAGGTATCTAGGAATAAACATGTTGACAGCTTATTTTAACTGATTGACTGACTCTCTTCAAACCAATGCTCCAACACAACATAAGCTGAATGCAATATGCATTAAAATGAGTTTAAACATTTCGGAAGCATTCGAAATTTGAAGCATTGTGTTCATGTACTTGCATAGACTATGTCTGAGCCTCACAGGATCTATTTTCAGAGTTGCATTTCATTTTTTTATGTCAAGACCACGTGATTAAGGAAGAGAAAAAAAGTGAAATGAACATGTCAGTGCTATAAACTGAACATATATAAAAAAAGAACTATGTGTGATTTGATTGGGTCGTAATAAAGCTTGGTCGGGATCTGTTACAGATTGTAAAGTAGGCTAGCTATTGTATTGTAAAATATAACTACCTCTGATCTAGCATGCTATACCTTTTTTATCCTTATTGATTTATATTCTTTTTTATATTAAATGTATATTAAAATGTAATTTTTTTTATATTGAAATTTTAAGATCTTTGTACAACAGACACTATTCTGGATGTAAATATTTTCGTATTTCTGTACACATGTGATAAAGAATGATTTAATAAAGTTACTAGTTTCATAAATGTAGCCTATGTCTTGAGGACTACTGAACAATTCAGAGAGATGTGAATGTAGTGCACCTTTGAACATTTAACAACAATAAACCCAGATATAAGAAACTGTATAGAAATGAGATTCAATTCATATCATTCACATGTTCGTCAAATATACACTACCTGCACATTTTCTTGGGTTGCTCTGACTAAAGTGCTTCTCTCTTGTGTACAGTTTTCTTATTTTTATTCTCGGTAAAAAGAGGAACAGTGCGATCAGACTGAAGAATAAAATAACAATGGCTCCCACCAGTGGCTCATGTTTGTAATGACAGTGTATGCTGAGCTCAGACTTTGCAAGAAAACAGTTAACATATAACAAGTTTAACAACAGCCATATAAAATACACAAATCGTACCTTGTTCTTCTGGATTGCATGTTCAGACGATCTTTTTTTTCTTCTTTGCCTTCTCTAGATTGCGTGGTTTTTGTATTCTGAGTAGCCCACTGGACCAACTAGACACTTCATTATTTCCACGAAGAACGTTCAGACAAGCAGTAACAGTCAGAACACTTGCTGCATCCGAAAACAGTATGACTAAAGTACGTCCGAATTCACAGTAGGCCAACTCATAAACAAGTAGACAAAAAGTACCTGAGACGACCTACTACTTCCGGCGGCGATTTTTTAAAGCCATAAATAAGGCAATACAAACCCAATGTCCTAACACACAACTCTATAAAATCAAAAAGTTCAGAGAGAAAAATAATCATACTAAGAGGAAAAAAAAAATAGTAAAGCTAAAATGGTCTCATAGAAAAAAACATACCTCCACACTTAATTGCCACAAATATGTACCAGCAGGTATTGCTACAGTTTTGAAACACAAACGTCCACTGGGGGTCACTAAAGCGAAGGACTGTATGTGACATTGTGATCGAATCTCAGGGGTATTTACACTAGCATTTCCCCATTATCCTCAAACTTTTATTCAAGTGATAAATGTTAAGTGATATGCATTGTTTTACTGAATCATGTTTGCTCTAATGGTAATGTAACGTTCGAGTCATGTGAGCACTCATGACGCCAGGACAGAGAAGCTAATACCAGTGATTTATCTGAAGTTCATTCCCATGAAACTGTCAAAGTGTACAAACCATAGACTGTAAAAAGGTACAAACATGTAGTTTTGATGCACAACATGGTGGTAATTTTATGAGTTTGTGTAGCCTACAGTAAGAAACTATATTTCCATGTAGCCAAAAGGAAAAGCCTCACATCACCAAACATACATGTCCTAAGGTGCGTTCCATTCGACAGGGTCGACGCAGTGTTCACTGCTCCCTACTCCCTGAACACGGTAGGCTACATCAGTTGAAGTGAACTTCGCTGACAATAATCACTCATTTGGAATGCCCTGCAACGTCATCAAAGAAAGGCAACAATAGGGTCACACAGATTGTGACATAACTTTTTATTTACTTTTCTTTCTCATTTAAAATCATATAATAGGCCTAAAGATACATTCATCACCCACCCCAACCGTTCATAAATATTCTAGATTGTTTAATAATACCAATATTTATGAATACTCAATGCGTAAACTCAGAGCCATTAGAATTTTAAATTTAAAATCTCTTCCAACGGCTCTGCTCTATGGTTAGTACTGATGATGTGGTGCACAATGACAGTTGGTTCTTGGTTGATATTCACTCTCCACTTCATGTGAAGTGATGTATCGATGTTCCCTTATTCCCTACCCCGTTTGCAGTGCCCTTCGGATTGGAATCTCACTTAAGATGGTGAAACACCCTCCACTTCACAGTCCACTCAAATTTGTTTTTGCCTATCAAGGAACAGCAGGTTGGTCTTTACATGTAGCACCAACTTGTACCAGATATAACCATGATTTGGAATTACTACATTTATTGTACATGCATTTTAATGTAACAGCTGTACCTGCCACAGAAACAGCGGAGCTTGAGCCGATGAAACCTCTCCATGTGCCTTGGCTAGCCAGTAGTATCTGCCTTTTCGTAACAACCTAGTTTCAAAAATTCTTGTAACATTTTAATTGTGCCTTTTTGTGGCGATTGTTGGTTAAGCCTGGGTCAGGTCAGTTTGTTTTTTTATATAAAATTTTTGTTCACAGTAAAGAAATCACAACACATTATTTTGGTTTAATAAACTTTATTTAAACTTTTGTTTGGACTTAAGTGCGCAGTGCGCTCAATCTTTAATGTTTAGTTTGCGGATTTTATCCTTACCGTTCTTTTTTGTGTTCTTGTTTGTTGCGGCTGAGTCACATGAGCTGGTGTACCATCAAAAGGAGTTCGGCGGAAACTTTGGATGCAATGATCAGGCTGCTACCATTACGGTTTCTATTCAGGGGACTCCAAGGACTATTTTGTTAGAGTAAGTAGACAAAGATGAGATGGTGGTGTTGGCTACAGGGGGAGCTGATGCTGAACAACAGTAGAACAGTTACAGGACATATTTGGTGCACAGCAAGAGAGAGATAAATGACTCGACCAGGAGACAGCGTGGGAGTAAAATAGATGGAAGGCTGTTCAACATCAGTTCACACTTCTTCAGGAAGAGATACAAACCCACGTGACGGTTATGTTTAGGGGCGGGGTCAGGGGAAGGTCATTCGTACGAATTCATACGAATTGGCTAATTCGTAAAATATGTACGATTTAGCAAAATCGTACTAATTCGTACGAGTGAGGTCGTACGAATTGTTATGAATTAGCCACCTCGTAAAATTCGTACGAATTCCCATGAGATCGGGTTTGACTGTCCTTCCCCGTTAGTTAGTTTGGCTAAATTGTTTTACATTTTGTAATTTCCAGTTGAATTACAGACTATTCTTATATTTTATCATTGATGATTACTTAAAAATATCTTAAAAATCTTGTCTCGTTCTCATGAACCCAATCTCGTGTCTCGTCTCACCCCAGCAACTAATGTTAACTGTTTCAGACCAATTGTAAATAGTTTGTTCTTCAATGGACAAGAGTGTTTAGAATTTCCTTGGACAAGCAGATTTCCCAGGACTGGAAAATAGGTCATTCATTTTCTAAGTTTTACAAGGAACATTGGAACCCTGCTAGTGTGATGTGCAAGAATTTCGGAAAAATATTCGACCAAAACGGTTTAGGGCCACATCACTGACTGAAACAGTGATGCTTCATTAGCCCTCCTCAGATCAAACAATGAATGAAGTTAGCTCTAGCCATTGTAGCCATTGAAGGGGCAGCATGGCACCCGACCGCTCGTGAACATATTGTTAAATATTTAATGTAATACGTATTTTCAACATTAAATGCACAGAGAAATGCAGACTAAGGATGCTCAGGTCAAAGACCACATACTTACCCAAAAAGTGCTTAACACAGTTAACAGTCATTTGATTAGCTTAGATCATAGCAAACTAATCACCAGAACAAATCACTGTGAAGAAGACTTGTGACGTAGATTTTTACTCAGCTATGATTTAAATGTACATGTATCAATCTATCTATTTGTAGACTCACTTGGTTGTTGTGGCCAGTGATCTCACGGCCGTGAATAAAATGTCAACAAAGAGCAACTTGGAAGACGTGTCAGGTACGCACCTGAGAAATAGTCTCAACGCTCAAAAGACAACAACAGAACATCTATGTGTGACTGAGGAAGTAATTGGCCTATGTCAGGAAAAAATTGAAGACCGGAAGTAGTAGGGATAAGGCTCTTCTGGATAGCTTTTTACAATGGTGGAGTCCGATAGATACCGCTGGACCAAATCTCTCCGCAACCTGCCTGAAGTCACACATGACGATGGTGTTCAGATGGTAAATGAAAACTCTCAAGTGGGAAAGAGTGAAAGCTGAGGTATGGCTGTCTACGTCCTGATGCAGAGCAACCCGGTACACTACAACAGCAGCCCCGATTAGCTCTAGCCGTTCGCCAGTAAGGTATACGTTTCTATGGTAACAGTGAGTTGGACCAGAGAATGTCTAATTGAAGAGAATAGGCACTGGCTGGTTACTTCCGGGTTCTGGACTGGCTGCAGTAACGCGTCTCTGTCCATGCGGGGGCGCTCGCGGTCGAGTGCAGAATGAATGGGAGTCAATGAGGTTTCACCCCAAAAAATCCACGTTTCTCAGGATGTAATTTTTTGTCAAGTAATTTGAAAGTTGCATTCAAAAGGGAGGGCTAAGAAAATACATTCAGCTGAAAATTGCATTTTTAAGTTCACTAATCTGTTCTAAAAATCCGTTCAAAAATGTGATGACGTCACACAATAGCAGAATGCTAGTGTGTTTCGGCCAACAACACCCTAACCTGTAAGAAATCAAAAGGACATAAGTACTCGTTCATTCGACTTTTGGCCTATAATCTATATTGAACTTGCGGAATCAACAATTAAATCTATTTTGATTTAACGACAAGCAAGTGAAAGCGACACATTTAGCCGCTTAGCCCCATAGACTCCCATTCATTCTGCTCTCGCCCGCGATCACCTCCAGTGGAATTCTAATGGAACTGCAACCAAGATAATACACAACGGGGCTAATAGGAAGTGCCAAGGCTCTCCGTTAGACGGGCTCTGGTTGGACCAATCAGCAGATGTTGCTACTACGCTTATGATTGTGGGTAGTGTAGTTTTTTGTTTTTGTTTTTCAAAAGATTACGGCTTCTACAGGTGCAAAAACCTTAGTTTCACAACCTCATAGCTCGTGGTCAGTCTACCTCGGATGGTTTAGTCATTAGAGCTGATAATCTAAATCCTTATTGAGAAATACTGTTGACCGGAAGTTCTGTATCCCTACTCCACGTTCTGGAAGCATATGCCTATAGAAGTACTAAAGATTCTACATTCAAAAGACAAAAATTGAACATCTATGTGTGATTGAGGTAGTGATAGTAGCTTCTTGACACCATCACCTTACTTTATGGAAGTATTGTATTGGATTGGATACCATGGTTATTAGTTTTAACAACTGGAAGTTGTTTAAATTGTCCATGGTGAAGAAGTCAGATTAAGTAAGGTGTATTCGTATGAAGAATTTCCACGACAATATCATCTTTAGGCCTACTATATCACAAATCATCCTGAATGAACATAAGAAGGACTGTTGAAAGAAACAGCAACAGAAGTGAATCGTATCATGTCTCATTTAATCGCTAAATCAGTGTTTCAACCGTGGAAACACGTCATTACCCCAGGAAAGCCATTTAATGTCCATAGGTTAATCTTCTAGAAAATCATTTTGCTAAATCTATGAATTACATTTCATATTCAATATATTTTAATTGACCAGTTGTCTTCATTATTTATTATTTACTGAATGATCGAATAAATCTGTCAGATTACAGCCACCGTTTAATTTCAACAATGAATTGGAGTATATTTGATCCTGAGAAAGTTTGACAAGGCAGAATCTAATTTGAACATTTGTGATTTTACTTCACAGCAGTGGCAAAAATAGCTTGAAATGTGACGAGTTTCTCCCTTTTGGTCTCCATTCGCACATCTGTGAACCCAGAGGACTCCAGCACTTCCATGTAGACCTCAGGGCGCCAGCTCTCCCCACTTAACATGTTCTTTGAGGCAACTTTTTCAACACTCTTTAGTCTGAGAGTTGTGACCATAGTTCCACCTGAGGAACAGAAAATATTTTTTCTGAATGTTAAACATTTTATGTTACATATATAAAAAATGTAAAAAAATAAAATAAAATTTTATTGGCACTGATGGTTCAATGAAGAACCATTAGCATACTTGGAGCCACAAAAGGTTCCTTATAGCAGAAAAAGGGTTTTGGATGATTAAAATGGCCTTTAGTTCTTATAAGAAATGTTCCCTGAAAGGTTCTTTGGGGAACCGAAAATGGTTCTTCTATGGCATGTGTCAAACGCCGCTCCTGTAGCCCCACTGACATGCAGAGAACCAGATGTCACAACAATTCGTACACATTTTACGAGGTGGCTAATTCATTCGAATTCATACGACCTCACTCGTACGATTTTTGCTGAATCGTACATATTTTACGAGTTGCCCAATTCGTATGAATTCGTACGAATGACCTAACACAGTTAGGTCATACAACTGACGCTTTTGACCATACGTCAACATCCGCCATTTTAGGTTACCCTTAAACGTCGGTTAGATGACGATTCTGGGGCGTCATCCAACTGACTCTTTAACTTTAACGTCAGTTAGGTGACGGGGTAGGTTTAGGTCTGGGGTAGGGTTAGGATTAGATAACGTCATCTAACCAACGTTTAAGGGTACCCTAAAATGGCGGATGTTGACATATGTGTAACCCCTCCACCCGGGTCCTACTCGAACCACTTCGAGCGGGCCTCGAACCTGGGTCTCCGGCATGAGAGTCAGGAGGCTAAAGACTGCAGCCTCTCTAGCATCTGTCGCTAGAGTGCCTATTGAGATCAGAGGAGTGAGGTTTACTTGCACAGCAACTACTAGCTGGCCTCCGTTACACTCACCCCCCTAAACCTCACTCTCATCCGGGTCACGGCACCAATGTAACCCCTCCACCCGGGTCCTACTCGACCCGAATCGGGCCTCGAATCCGGGTCTCCGGCATGAGAGTCAGGCGCTCTAACAAGGAGGCTAAAGAGATTGAGATCAGAGGAGTGAGGTTTACTTGCACTTCAAGTTTCTTTACGTTTCTAATCCTGACATTGAAGTACCACGAGCGATTAGTGAAGATGGCTCCATGCTTTCGAATCAACGATCCGCTTGCGGATCAAAGCGAACTCAGCTCTTGATTAGCTGGTGCAGGTGTATTTATTTTGGAGCTAAACTCTGCAGGGCAGTGGCCAAAGAACGGAGTTTTACACTCCTGGCATTACAGAAAATAACCCTTTTTAGCCTTTATTTTGAAGATGGCCAAATAAGCCATTTTAAATGTCCATTAAGATTAATGAGAGCATTCTATTCTTAAATCATCTATATACGCCTACTTAAAGTTTGCCTATAATGAACACATAACGCTTTTGGTTCAGTTTGGTTAAATCACTCATCTCACCTGGTTTCATCACTCTGTGGATCACTTTCGCTCCCGCTTTCAGATCCGGCCAGAAGTAATAACAGTTGCAGTGAAACACCTTGTCAACAGTGTTTTCCTCAATGGGCATGGCCACCAAATCACAGTGATACAACACAGCCTTTCCTCTGGAGATCTGCTCCTCCATGCGCTTGCTGGCCATCTGATGCATGTATTGTGAGTAGTCCACACCCAGAAGTTTCCCTCTTGGGCCAATGAGGAGCTGCGAGGCCTCCTGAAGGCCGAGGCCCGGCCCGTGACCCAGCTCCAGCACTGTGTCGTTGGGTTGTATGTTGCATAATTTCACTGCATTTTCCTCCAAAATCTGATTGTTCCATTTTAAGAACTTGCTCACCAACCATCCAGATAAAGAATATGTGGGGTGGCCCAGCTGTTTGCCCAATTTGCTAGACAGCATTTCTAGACACACAATAAAACAAAAAAATTATTTTACACACAAACATTTATGACCAAGACATTGAACACAATTAAAATAATTGAATGAAAACAGCAACAAAAAAAAAAAAAACTACAAACAAAAATAAACAAAACAACAAAAATATTAATAATTTGCTGATAATGAAAATGTACTGTTTTAAAGGGATAGTTCACTTTGAAATTAATTTTTGATATGTTTTAGCTTACCCCAAGATGTAGGTGTCTTTGTTTCCACAGTATTGTCAATTTTGATATTTTTCGGTTGTTGTCTGTCAGTCATATAATGCAGGTTTAGGGGGGCCACCCTCGGTTCACCTCAAAGAGCATGCACAGAGAAGTCAAAATTAAACATGATTTAATGACTCGTAAATGTAATTACACGTTGATGGCCTAAGACACGAAACGAGCGGTTTGTGTGAGAAAACGAACTAGCGTTTCACCTCTTGTAACCACAGCCACGTCCAACTGATCTGAAGGCACGGGCGCTTTAATCTGCGCAATCACCGGAAGTGATTGCTTGTGTGTGTACGTCACTCATTGTTTACACAGAGATTTCGGAAGTTTTACCTTTCACTAAACATATTTAGATATATCGAAATTGTTTTCCTTTGCGATTTCCAGTATATCTAAATATGTTTAGATCTTTACAGTGAAAGAGAAACTGTTCGTTTTCTCACACAAACCGCTCGTTTCGTGTCTTAGGCCATCAACGCGTACTTACATTTACGAGTCATTAAATCATGTTTAATTTGGACTTCTCTGTGCATGCTCTTTGAGGTGAACCCAGGGTGGACCCCCTAAACCTGCATTATATGACTGATAGACAACAACGGTAGAGCTGGGTTTCAATTAAAATTTCAAGAATCAATTTGATTCCGATTCTCAAGATCTTGAATCGATTATCATTATTCGATTTGATCCGATCTTCAAGATTTAGATAATTATTTTTGAAAAAAGCATTTTTTTCCAGCTGTTACCTGAATTACAGGACTGTAGTTATGCAACATATTGATACTATTATTATACACATTCAACTGCAAATTAATGTAGTATTGATTGTTGTAAAGAACAATCCCCCTTCCGTGTTGATACAACTGCTTTCACAAACATGCACTGGTGTAGACAACAGAGGACGCAGAGGTATATCAGCAGGAGGATTGCAAGTAACCGCAGGAACGGTGATATTCACGTTCTTTATGAGGCTATACCCTTCTTGTTTTGAACTTCATGCATATTGAATGTTAGACAAGTTCATAATGATAACGAGACTGTTTATCGTGGTGGTGATGTGTGGCCTACAGAGGCTTCGCACAGACAGTGAATGAAAGAGATCGGCAGAGCGCGTGCGATTACCTGCGTCTGTCGTGGAAAGGTTGCCGTGTCAAAGGAACGCGAAATTACGGAGCCCCTCTAGTCCCACTTTGGTAAAAAAAATTAATTATAACTATCTTGTGGCCTCAAGATAGTAGCTCGTGGCCTCAAGATACTAACTCGTGGCCTCAAGATTGTAACTCGTGGCCTCAAGATAGTAACTCGTGGCCACAAGATAGTAACTCGTGGCCTCAAGATACTAACTCGTGGCCACAAGATACTAACTCGTGGCCTCAAGATACTAACTCGTGGCCTCAAGATAGTAACTCGTGGCCTCAAGATACTAACTCGTGGCCTCAAGATACTAACTCGTGGCCTCAAGATACTAACTCGTGGCCTCAAGATAGTAACTCGTGGCCACAAGATAGTAACTCGTGGCCACAAGATAGTAACTCGTGGCCACAAGATACTAACTCGTGGCCTCAAGATACTAACTCGTGGCCACAAGATAGTAACTCGTGGCCTCAAGATACTAACTCGTGGCCACAAGATACTAACTCGTGGCCTCAAGATACTAACTCGTGGCCTCAAGATAGTAACTCGTGGCCACAAGATAGTAACTCGTGGCCACAAGATAGTAACTCGTGGCCACAAGATACTAACTCGTGGCCTCAAGATACTAACTCGTGGCCACAAGATAGTAACTCGTGGCCTCAAGATACTAACTCGTGGCCACAAGATACTAACTCGTGGCCTCAAGATACTAACTCGTGGCCTCAAGATAGTAACTCGTGGCCACAAGATAGTAACTCGTGGCCACAAGATAGTAACTCGTGGCCACAAGATAGTAACTCGTGGCCTCAAGATACTAACTCGTGGCCTCAAGATAGTAACTCGTGGCCACAAGATAGTAACTCGTGGCCACAAGATAGTAACTCGTGGCCTCAAGATACTAACTCGTGGCCACAAGATAGTAACTCGTGGCCTCAAGATACTAACTCGTGGCCTCAAGATAGTAACTAGACGAGTTACTATCTTGAGGCCACGAGTTACTATCTTGAGGCCACGAGTTACTATATTGTGGCCACGAGTTACTATCTTGAGGCCACGAGTTACTATCTTGAGGCCACGAGTTACTATCTTGTGGCCACGAGTTACTATCTTGAGGCCACAAGATAGTTATAATTATTTTTTTTTACCAAAGTGGGACTAGAGGGGCTCCGTACGAAATAGTTGTCGAATCATCCTTTTAACGTTCACGTTATGGGTATTTACCATAAATGCGCATAAGCAGCAGCGCTGGTCAGCATCCCACAGCGCGAGGAAGCCGCGGGGAAAAATCAGTGAGTCACGCATTGAATCAATGCCATATATTAATGAAGCATCAGCTTCAGCGTTGCCCATGCGACGCATTGCTGCTCAGCTGAGCCTTGACAAGTGGAACTCAAAGTTAAAAATAATTAACACCTTGAAGTTGTTTTATTACATCAATTTTAATGAATCTGCTTTTTTGAACGTGTTCGTTGAATGAACAGTTTAATGAATCAAAGTCCATTGTCGTAACAATGTGCGCGCTGAGTGAAAGCTTTCAATGCGCACATTGGGATCAGTCGCAGCATGTTAAAGTTCACAGGGAAAATATAGGCCTATTAATAAATCGATTCTCTGAGTTACAGATCTTTAGAAATTAATATGAAGATTGATTCTGAATTGGTGAATCGATTTTTTCAACACATCCCTAAACAACGCTTTGACCGAAAGACACCAAAATTGAAAATAATGTGGAAACAGACACCTACATTTTGGATGCCCTTGAGGTAAACTAAAACGTATTAAAAATTAATTTCAAAGTGAACTATCCCTTTAAGAGTAGCCAATAATCTAAGCTCTATAAGTGAATGAAACGCCTAGCCATTAGTATTTGAAACCATTACACTAAGATCTATTACGTTACATCTATGTCGTTAAATTAAACTCAAAGTAGCCTACTATGGGCTCTATGCACGGCGTTATTTCCGGTGAAGGATTAAGGATGCTCGATAACTTCCGCCGATCATAGAGTCCAATGCAATACCGAATATTGAATTTTATACTCCATGGTTATACTAATGAAACGTTAGTCACAAAAACAGATAAAACAGACACCCCTCGTTGTGTTTATGCTTCTTTTTAAAATTATATTAAATAAACATAACTATATATAAAATTACATGTACGTTTCGTTTCAAAGACGGGAGGACAGTAAATATTGAAGACTCTGCCATAATCCCGTTTTCTCCGGTTTTCCTCCACTTTAAATCTACACAACCGGAAATGGACGAGCAGTTACGTCAAATGCGGAACTTATGCGTGCATATAGCCCATTGAAATTGGTTTCTGGACACTAATGTCAATGTTTGTGCGCGTGCAAGAAAACACACACACACACAGTTGCCACTGCACTATGAAATGAAAAGGCATTAAGGCAAGGTCCATCTCTGCGGTCTAGTCTAATGTAAACTCATACAGGCACACATTTATGTTTAAATATGGTTAAGGCCTTAAGAAATATTTAGTTCGATATTCACTTTCTCCTGGACGTGCTGAGGGCGACAGTCTGTCTTACGTTGACGGTTCTAAACTACAAATATAGTTTACACAGTCTACGCGAGTTGATAAAACAGTATGTGCGCTGATCCGAGTCCGAAGCGCATTCACTTTCCTGCAGTAAATAAGGGACCGTGTGAAAACTCCACCGACTCCACGCGAACAACGCGGCGTCCATGGCATGTGCATTGATTCAGTTACGACAAAACATCGATAAGACATAACTCTAAAGGTTATTTAGTTACCTTAAATACCTGGAACAGTACTTAATTATTTCTAACATTGACCAAAATTACATTTTACATTCTGACTGTTGTAATAGGTTTGTAAGGAGTCCCTAAGATAAGTAGCCATTTAAAGTCACAGTGAAATCAATATTGACAAGTCAATTATTTTATATTGAATGTTGTAGTTTATTAACAATTATGCATCCTCAATTCATCTTTAATCAAAACAACTTAACCATCTAGGGATGCTCCAATCCGATAGTATCGGCAGTATTGTTATAGGCTCCAGTAGCTTAGTAGCATTTTTGCTATTGAGAATGACCAGAGACATGTATTGAGATATATTTTGAATGTACTTTATTTTGTATAGTGCAGTAGACAATTTTATATGTATGTCCTGAATAAAGATGATGATGATGAGTTAATGAGTGAATTATTTGTTCCTAAATACGATCCATAACATCCATCAGAAAACACACACACTCATCCATCAGAAAACACACACAAATACATTTATACGATGTACTTGGCCTACACGTTTCAATCACACATAATAACTAACCCTAACCCCCCATATATATATATATATATATAGTTGACAAATGGGCAAGAAAAAGTACTTTTTATAGGAAAACATAACTTTTTAAGAAAAAAAACATATATTTATGGAGTATGAAAACTGCAGTTTCAGAAAATAGTAGTGGTAACTCATTTTGTCAATGACTTCACATATTATTTTCACGTTTTCATTCAACGATACTGTAAATATGTCCTATGGTGTGACATTTAAAAAGTACTGAAAAATTATATTAAATAACATTGAAAAATAATTGAAAGAATTGTTCACATTATTAAAACATTTTTTTTTATGAAAGTGATATTTATATTATCTGAAAGTAAAAATTTGAATAATTTTTACCATGAATAGATTAACTTCATAAACTTTTCCCTACGAATGTCAATAAAACTTTTTCGCCAACCTTACTAAACTTATTGAAATTGTACCCATCTAGGAGGAGATATTATTGAAACTCCCCTAATGCCAAACTTGACTCTTTTTAAAAAAACATATTTTGAAATAAGTATATTTTTCTGTTGTTTTATGTTTGTCACACCATAGGACAAAACGTCACACCAAAGGACAAAGATAGTCATTGCATAAAAAGAGTCAGACTATATAGTGTTTACAGTAACAATTATAAAGGAGGACATTTGTTTTTAATTTTCTGCAATATAAACTGTGCAAAACATATCACACCTAAAGTAACTTTGATAATTATAGATCCATCAAAACATAATATCTTTGAGAAATAGGCTACAGTAAAATGACATCGTCATTGTTCATCAGTTAAACAGTAACAATATGTCACAGTTCTGTCACCCTGGTCTGGGTTTCTCTTGATTTAGTGACAGAGCTCTGCCACTCCTTCTTAAGGAGGTCTTGTCCTATTGTGTGACATCTGTGTCCTATGGTGTGACAGGCCAAAGTGTCACACCGAAGGACATTTCCTGTCACACCAAAGGACATTTGAGCTTTTTGTGGCATGTTAATAACTATGGTAATGCTAGCTGAACTGTCAATAGCAATCGGCATGATACATTTGCATAATATTACATAGTCCTGCTGTTAAAAATACAAATTTAAATTAAAAAAAATATATTTAGGGGCGTCACACCAAAGGACAAAAAAAACTTAACAACTTCAGTGGTCTGAAATCATAGTTAAATATTTGACCAATTCTGAGAGAAATAATAACTATGTGCACTGCTCATGGGCTTCATAGGGGTCTTCAGTCACATGACCTTGAATGGGGTCTTTCTACTAAATGTAGTTGTCCATGACATTGCCCAACATAATATCAGGTTATTGCGTAACACCAAAGGACATTTTTTTCTGTGACAAACTTTATGAAATTCCCATACATTTAGAAATGTATGTATAAGAAAATGATTGGCCACTTAGTGAAATAGACACTTGCACAATTATGCCAGGAGTGCATAATTTGAAAAAAATATATATATATATAATATATATATATATATATATATATATATAGTATTCTGTTACAAAATTAAATAATATTGTCTGGGGTCCAGTAGACCCCGAAGACCGAATTGTTACTTTTTTTGAAGACCATCAGAGGGTTAAGTTGCTAAATAAGTTCAACACCACAAGTTTCATCCATATTCCCAAATGCACGTTATTGTGATAAAAGTACCGAAGCATAGAATAAAATAATACAAGGAATGTCCATTTTTTGCCACAAACTCAACTTGAACAGAATAGTGCCAATGGGTTAAATGTATAAGGATCTATGTTGTCCCACAACCGTATTTATTTTTCGTTCTTCTTTGGAAAATGAAAAAATACAAGACTTAAGGACTTTTACACGTCACTCAAAAATATGATTTTAGGGATTTCCTCAGATAAATATCATATCAATGCTCATTTCAGAGAAATGTTATAAACAGTCTGGTTTTACCTGCGTGATTCCTTACAGACATTTTTATTCACATTGGCATCTAATGAATTGTATATTTGATCTATTAATTTATATACTGTAAAAATGTCATATTTATTATCATGTTTAATTTTAAAGCAATAGTTATGTATTTCTTTATACTCATTTAAACAATTTTATTTTGGGGCAGCTCAAAAGTTTACTGAAGACATGAAAAAAAACTCAAAATAGACAATGTCATCAAATATAATTTATTATTTCAACATGAACATATATATAAAATCAACATAAAGGGCCATAATAATAACAATAATAATAATAATAATAATAATATTGTGAAGCTCTTCTACATGATCCTTCCATTCCTGGCTTAGCGTTGCACACTTTTGACCTGGGTTTATATAATGGCCAACGCGAGATACCAAGGGACTCCACAATAGCTTCATACAGGGAACATAAATCTTACAATGTTGTACATTCTTACAGTTCATATCCCGACACAACAATCCATCTTTTGGGACCTTAACGTTACCCAGCAAAGCATCGGATTAACCACGATGAAGTTTAACAATTCATCCTCCACTATCACCTTCCCATTATCTGTTTTTATAGATTGCAGGTTTTGTACGGGGACAAGCCGAGCCCCCATCAGCTGCACACGCCGCCGCCGCCGTGACTAATCTCTGTTTATTAATTATTGTCATTAATGATTTATCAATAAATTATAACCGGAGGAAGAAGTGAAACAAGGTTTTAGATGTACGGCAGAAGAAGAACTGTGCAGACTTCTGGTCGATCCACACAGGTCAACTGCTCCGCAGCACCTTTCCACTCTTGTTACAGTACCTACAGGACCACAATGCATGGAGCTCCCACTCTCTGAACGTTTTGGGTGGATCTTCAATATCCAGCCACACTAAAACCGTAAACCTAACTAATTTCAGCTCCAGCCATTAGGTCCCCTGAGATCTCTGTCCCACTCCAACTCACCCCAGCCAGGGAAGGGCTTGTCCTGCCTCCCTCCCGGACTCGCGTCGGGCAACCACGAGAAGCTGAAGTGGACCCCATCCGACACCCACCTAGCGAAGCCTTCACTATTGATCTTCACTGTAGGGTTGTGGCACTATCACTTTAAATATATCTGTATTGATGTTAACGTCATGTTGGCGACCCCTGTTAAAAGGAAGTGGTAACGCATCAATAAAGACAGAAGTGTTTGCATTTACACGAGTTGTGTGTGTATTACTGGACACTCTACATGGTGTCAGAAGCGGCGATAATGGCTCAAGGACTCCGCCGTATAGATCCATTAGTGTTTGACGTCAATGTTGCTGATAACTGGCGGAAATTTGAGAAAGAGTGGACAATCTATTGCAAGGCAGGACTGTCGGATAAGTCAAAGAAAGTTCAAGCCTACACGCTACTGAACCTAGCCGGCCCGGAGGCTGTGGAAAAGTCGGATTCCTTTGTTTATGGAGAGGGGGAAAACCACGAAGATCCAGCGACTCTATTGGTAAAGTTTGCTGAACTATGTTTGCCAGCGAAAAACGTTATCATGGACAGACATGTGTTTAACACCACTAATCAAGGAGTCGGTGAGTCTATTCAGACGTATATCTCAACTTTAAAAATACTGGCGAAAAAATGCGATTTTGGCGTGCTGTGTGAGGAGTTGATCAGGGATCGCATCGTTTGCGGGATACAGAGTGACATCCTACGCAAACAGTTATTACGTGAAAAAAATCTCACCCTTGCACTGGCAGTTAGCATCAGCATGCTCCATGAACAGTCAGAGAAAAGCTCTAAGGAACTTCATAAGGAAGCTGAAGTCTGCTCGATTCAGAAGGCTCGCTGTAGCAATTGTAATGGCCAACACTCACCTGACCGCAGCAAGTGTTTTGCTCTTAATAAGATATGCAATAATTGTGGAAAACTTAATCACTTTGCTAGGTGTTGTCGATCGGCTCCTGCGCAGGCCATAGTTCGCCCCAAAGCCCCCAATTCATTCAGAAGAAGAGAAATGGGTAGAGTGAATGAAGTGACAATTGAACCAGACAATCATATGGATGATACTTTCTACTGTGATACAATACTGACACCCGCACAGAAGGGGGAAATCTTCGCCACGCTCGAAATGAAGAACGGAACGGGACAGCTGAAGGTAAAAGTGGACACTGGTGCTAAATGTAATGTGCTGCCCAGGAAAATGCTGCATGCGGTTGACCACACAGTATATGTGGACCCAGATGAAAAGGTCAATTTAGTGGCTTATGGAGGTGAGTCAATTAAAACTGATGGCACTGTAACACTGCATTGTACACAGGGGCAGTTCAAGTTTCATGTGGTCAATAGGGATGTAAAACCCATACTAGGACTACAGGACAGTATGGCTATTGGTCTTATACGTCTCGGACCT